TGGTCAATCCAGTACTTGGAAAGATATCCGATCAACATTGCAAATCTGTTGAAGCTCCAGGGGGCAGATATGGAAATCCCGATTGTCGAGATGCGCAGATGCTGAAATTTCTTGCGTTGGGGCTGGTACAACCTCAGAACAAAACTTCACGGTGGCACAATGGTCTGGCAGTGCATCCTCCGGCGCCTCTTCGCGCTCTTGGTTCACACGCTGCCGTCGATTGGGACTTGTTGCTAGGTATTGTCTCGGGTAAATCACGCGGTCGAGCGAAAGGAGAATAGGGCTTCCAAGGTCCTACTATGTTTTACTAGACATGGTTCTACAATGAATGGTGGGCTTGCAGGTTATCTATTGGTGGTATGCTTCGTCAAATGCGTATACCATTCAATGATGCATGTCGTCAACATTCCCTGGTCTTCTGCGTGGCGCAGGTGTTACCTAGGCACGATATGGCCGGAGTTTGAGGTCATGCACGGCTTCATTCCAAAAGGGATGTGATGTGGATTCGCCCAGAGGCGCGGGATCTGAATTAGCCGCATGCGTTATGTGCATGTCTGTGTGTTTCAGTGCTTGCTCTGTGAGTGTTGTGTCTGCTGGCGCCGCCGATGCCACCGCGCTGCTGAGGTTAGATCTTGTCATAGACCGTCGGGCGACCGCCGTCTCTTGGGGCTGCCACCGCCACCTCCTCCTCCTCGTCCTCCTCCTTCGAGCTCCGATCTGTTGGCATTCAATCCGTATTGGAGCTGCCGTCCCCCCCCAAGGGCATTCGCCCTCTGGGGATGGGGGGGGCGGTGGTGAAACTAGAAACCTGTATCAGATAGCAATATAACAGATGGGGGCAGATCGTCAGACCCCACAGGGGCGGTGTAACTAGGTCCCCCAGCGCCCTGGGGGGGGGGGGGTCGAGAGAGAGAGAGAGAGAGGGAGGCAGACACACACCATATAGCGAAAGAGGAGAAGGGAGGAGGTGTACGGCGACAGTTGGCAGGAGGCTTGTGGTGCTGGGTGGTGGTGTTGGCGGCGCTGGCGACACGTGCGGCCAGGCCACGCACGCCACAGCGGAAAGAGAGGCACCGAGGCCTCGCCCCCGACTCATCGGGAAAACGCCACACGACGGCCCGCAGCCCCGCCCCCGAGGTGGGCACCGAGGTGGCCGCCGTGGGGCTGCCGCCGGTTGTGTGTGGGGGGAGGCGTGCGCCTTCCGCAGCGGCGGCCGTGCAGCCGGGCGGCTGTGGTGCTGGCCGCTGCCCTGGCCAACGCCAGGGCAGCCACCGGTGCGGCGCCTTTCCCGCCCCCCCCCCCCTCCCACGCCCCCTGAAACCATGCCTCATCACAGGCCTCGAGGTGGCGGTGGCTAGAAAGTGAGGCAGGGTAAGGAAGAGGCACGGTGCGACAGGTTGCTCGAACTGTGGCGCTCTGCGCTATGTCGCGACCACAGGTAATCTGCGAGGTGAGAAGTTACGCGGATGAAGGCGGTAGCGTCAGCAATTTGGTCGCGCTGAGGCTGATACCTGTGGCAGTCTCGGCCAACGCCGCGGCCGCCGACGGATCTTGTTGTGGTGTGGCTACTACCCGAGGTAGTCGCGGCCAACGCAGCGACCGCCGACGGTTGCTTCCCCCTTCCCCCCCCCCTACCCGTGCAGCGACCCACCATCACCACCGACATCCGCTGGTTGGCAGAATTTTCAGGCTGGCTGTAGCGGAGTAGAGCTGTGCAATACCATGTTGACAGAGTACTAGGTTGGTGTGGGACGCCGCGGAGCGACATAGGAATGGAGCAGTGGAGCGGACTGAAGCTGAAAAGGTTACGCTGCAAGGACAAGTTTGTTGGGACTGCGAGGTACTGCGGTGCAGGCTGCCTGTGCTGGTTGCCGTGGCTGTCCTTGCATTCGCTAGAGCAGTCACGTTAGCTGTGACCTCCCATTCCCCCCCGTATGACCCACCTCTCCCCTCCACAGTAATGGGTAGAAGCTGCGTGAGGAGGGGCTGTGCGAGGGTAAGCTGAGAGATAGATATGACGCGGCGAGTGGAATTCAAAATCGGAGCGAGGTAAGATGAAAGCAATCGGTGTGGATGGGGGCAGGTAATGCAGAGATCTGGTTGCGGTGTGATTGCTGCACGCGGCAGTCTCGGCCAGCGCCGCGACCGCTGACGGTTGCGTACTCCTTTCCTCTCCCACCAAGGGTGTCCCCCCACCCATCCCGCCTGCACACGAGTGGGACGGAGTAGGTGAGCTGGGATAAATGTGGGGGAAGCGGGGCATACCGATGGAGGTGAGCCAGAAGAGAGCGAAGGTTGGGCGAGGGCTCACTCAGGATTGGTGGAAAGTTGGCTCTTCGTGCTGTCGCCTCCGAGGCCCCAGCTCGAGGCTGGTGATTCAGGCCACACCAGAGAGGCGCACGAGGGAGCTCAATCCACTGGCCTGGAAGTAGAGTGGTCCTCCTCCTCATCCTGCCTCCTTCATCCCCTCCTCCTCCTCCTCCTCCTCCTCCTCCTCCTCCTCCTCCTCCTCCTCCTCCTCCTCCTCCTCCTCCTCCTCCTCCTCCTCCTCCTCTCGGGCACCCCCGCTGGGGTTCGCCGGACTGCAGGCATCTCTCGAGCTCTGAGCCCCAGCCGATCTTCCAGAGAGCTGCCCTGCATTTGCGTCGCGGAATGGGCGGGCGATAACTGGGGGCGCAGCGGGGGCTGGAGAAAAGAGGCCATGGCCCCTACAGGGGCCCTTTAAGGCCCAAGAGGAGGCCTGAAGGGCCCGAAGAGTGCACCTTTCTCCCCCCTCCCTCCAATTATCGCCCTCCCTTATGCGACGCCCAACCTGCGAGGGGTAGAGTCGGTACGGTCGGACCGAGGTATCAGATCGAGGTCGGCTCCGGGAGGGTACCCTAGGGTTCTTCGTGGTTGTTGGATGGTATCGTGCATCTTGGGTGAGTGCACCCTCGAAGGTTCTTTGGTTTGGGCCGGCGGAGGGTCTTTCTGAATGATGTTTTTCTGTCCTAGGTCCGGCCGTATATCCCCGCCTTTGCGGCCGACCCGCTTGGTCACCAGAGGCGGGGCTCCTGGACCTCCTAGTCTTTCAGAGGAGGGCATGGTACCCATACTGCTCGGGTGTGGACAGAACCCCCACCCTGATACGTCGATTAGTGAATTGTCCGTTTTCGGTTCTCGAGAGGGCGCCGCGGCCGTCATTTTCCAGGCTTGCGCCCGCCAGGTTTGGGTTCGAGGTCGTTTTCACTCAACCACGTTTTGCTAAAGGGGGTTCTGTCCATGCCCGAACTGCGACCTCTCCCTCGTTTACTCGTCGCCACCGCTGGACTCGCCGCTCGGAGGATGTCCTTCTGTCCCAGGTCCGACCGTGGGGTCCACAACGTGGCTGCTCAGGTACCCGCGGCGCCTCGGGGGCCTGTGCATGCTGAACGGCTGGCTGACCCCGGCGGCCCGCGCCGCGCTGGGCGGGCGGGGCCGCGCGGAGGCTCGGGCGGCGCCAAGCGTCGGAGCAGGAAAAGGTACCCATATCTTTACCCCGTCGCCCGTTTTCCCCTTTTTGAGCCTCCTGGGAGGCCCTCGTCGCCACCGCTGAATTCGCATCGAAATTCTGGTCAGAACGCACCCCAGGAGAGGTCTGGGGACCAGCGGTATTGGTACCTTTTGCCTTCCCCAAAGAGGGTCACCACGAGTCAAGCAGTGGCGAAGTGTCCTGGCTGAAAAATCACAGACACAAAAAAACCGTCGACTCCCAGGAAGATCTAGGAACATATGGGAAGTGGGGGCACCACGCCTACGGGGAAATACGGGGGAATCCTGGGCCGCGTGTCTATCTATCTGTTTGTGTGTGTGTGTGTGTGTGTGTGTGTGTGTGTGTGTGTGTGTGTGTGTGTGTGTGTGTGTGTGTGTGTGTGTGTGTGTGTCCCTGGGCCCCTTCATGTGGGTTCTGAGAGCATGCCGTGGCATAGGGGTGTGGGAATGCCAGGACGCGGTGGGTCCCCTGCTCGACCTGGGGGGTCAGGGGGGTGTCGCCAGCTCCTCCTGGTCCAATCGAGGCCCCGGGATCGAGGCCTCGAGGAGGTGGCTGGACGTCTGAGGTCGCTCTGGAGGGAGCTGTGTTGGGCCTTGCTCTCTCTCTCTCTCTCTCTCTTCCCTCTCTCTCTTCCCTCTCTCTCTCTCTCTTTTCTTTCTTTCTTTCTTTCTTCCTCTCTCTCTTTCTCTCTCTCTCTCTCGTTCTCTCTTCCTGAGAATCCTGAAGCGCGTGCAGCTTTTTCCAGCTCCTGGTCGGGAGCTTCGAAGCCAGCCTGTTCGGGTGTTTCTGTTTGCTGTGTGTGTGTGTGTGGCTCTGGAGCGTCCTGGCTTGCTCACTCCCTCGAGGAAGAAGCGGCGCTGCCTCGAGGAGGTGGCGCTCCCCCGATCCCACCTTGGCATTTTGCCCCAGAGGAGCTGCCCGTTCTGATCAGTCACGGCTCCGCCGACGAGCAGGTGGTCAGAGGCAAAAGGCGGCACCGACACCGCCGCCACCCCTCGCCTTTTTGGGGCCTCCCGGGGGCTCTCACCGCAGCGGCTGGGATTCGCCGCGCGGTCCTGGACAGAGCGCACCCCTGCAGAGGTCTGGGCAGTAGCGGTATCGGCTTCTTTGTCCGGCGCACGCAGCAAGGCATCAGCGCCAACGTTCGCAGGTCCGTGCGGATTGCTCGGCGCTCGGCCCCGCAGGCGGCGCCTTGCCCCGCGCGCCAGGGAGGCGGGCCCGGCGCCGATCCGAGTAAGTCCGTGCGAACCTCCGACAGTTTCTGTTCGCAGCCCGTGATGGGCCTGTCTTCCACCACTGCCACCACAAGCTGGAGGGGGGGCAGGAGGTGGAGGAGGAAGAGCAGGAGGAAGACGAGGGGGAGGAGGACCCCCTCCCCCCTCCAACTTATGTAGGGGAACAAAAAGTGGCATAAACATAAAAACTAGGAGGTCCGCGCGGATTTCTCGGCTCGGCGCTGGACCCCCCTCCTTGGCGCGCGGAGCGCGCCAGGGGCGGCGCCGGAGGCGCCGCCAGGGGGCCCCAGCGCCGATCCGAGAAATCCGCGCGGACCTCCGAGCTTTAATGTTTATGCCACTTTTTGTTCCCCTAGCATGGCGGCGGTGGTGAAAGACAGGCCCGTCAGCCCCTGCGCTCGGTTCCGAGGTGAGCCTCGGCTGCGGGCGGGAGGCGGCGAGGCTGCTTGCGGAGGCGGGGGCGCGCGTGCAGCTCCGCGTGCACGAGGGGCAGGCGCACGTGGCGTCCGGCTTCGGCCCCGGCAAGGAGCCGCGGGTGAAGAGCGGCACTGGTGTTAGGTCGGGCCAGTCCCTCTACAGGAGGAGCAGTCCAAAATAGTCAAAAGATAGTCTGGGGGTCAAAACATAGTCAGGGGACGATGTTTGGGCTATTTTTGATCATCTTGGTGTATTGTTCGACCTGTTTTAGTTTTCGTCCAAAATCCGCCTGAGGGAGACATGCCCGACCGAGCACCGGTGAGGCTGCGGGCTGCGCGCCGACAGCCCCCCCCCCAGGTAGGCTCAGCTGGTCTCACCCAGAGATCCGACGCTCCCAAAAAGTTGGAGCAGGCGGTGTTTGCACGTTTTCGGCCTCCGGCTGCCCTCGCCGGGCGTCGGGAACGTCAAGAAACGACTCGGAAGGAAAACCCGGCCTCGGGGAAGTGGTCTGGACCTCCGGGGCCCACGCATCGAAAAAATTGGAGCAGCTGGATGTCTGGGCAACAGGCCACCCGAACAGGCCACCCGAGTAGTCCTAGCTGGCCTCAATAGGTCAATAGGCCCCCCCGGCGCCGCCTCCAGCGGCGTCCCTGTTAGCTGGGACCGCTCCGGGGGCGTGTTGAGGCCAGCAGGGATTACCTGAGGAGGCTGTCTGTGCGCAACCCGAAACCCTCCCAAACGACGAAATAATCACGAGACAAGGTTTTTGGCAATTTTCGACCTCTCGGAGCCCTTGCCAGCCACGGGACGGTACAAAAAAAACCCTCGGGATGAAAAACCGGTTCCAAGTAGCAGGTCTAGACCGCTGGGGGTCCACGTTCGGGTGTAAAATTCCGAACCCTGCTCCCAGCACAACGACCAGAAGTCATTCAGGATGCTTACCCGTGCGTTCCGGTACGAGCCTGCGCTGCGCATGACTGCGGCGCGCCCGTAGACTCCCAGTCGGGGGTCGGCGGATTCATTCCCATTTTCAGTCGACGGTTTTGCTTCTACCTCGCGGCGCTCGGGAAGGCTAAAATGCATTTTAGTTCGCTAGGAGGGGCCCGACTTTCCCCGGAAGATCCTGGGGCAAAATTATGTTCGCCGTTGGGAGGTGTTTTTTTGCAAGAGTTCGTGGTTTCGTATTGCGAAGCATTTGCCTCGCACTACGTACGGATCCTGGGTCTTCCGTTGTACCCTTGCTCCCTCTCTCTTCTCCCGAATTCCCTCGTCTACCGCTGCGTCTGCTCTCCTCTCTCGCCCGCCCTCCCTCTTCCATCCTCCATCCTCGCGTCGCTTCCGGCCGCTCCAATCCAAAGCGCCTCCTGTTCGGCATAAGCCCCACCCTGCCGACAGTGTCATCACTACCACCGCCGATCTCGGTAGCACATCGCCGTCTTGTGGTTGGGTAGGGGGCCACATGCGAACCCTACCCTCCCCCTCAGAAATCGTGGGGGTAGGGGTAGGGTTCGCATGTGGCCCCCTATTGGGGTCGAGGTTTCTCATTCAACACTCGATGGAAAAAAAAGCTCCGACGTCGGAGACATGGGGACGGCCAGAGGCCGACTGCTCTCCGCGGCCCCGGGCGCCATTATGCCAGGGCGGCTGGGCAGGTTCTATATACCCCCGCACGCCTCCGTGGGTGCAGAGTTCCAGCCGGCCTGGGGCTGGCGCTCCCGATCGCGGAAAGGCTGATGCAGCACTCGTCGCGTTCACCGCCCGCCCTTTCAAGTTCCCGCCAGGGTCTGGCCCTCACGAGAGCCCCCCCGTCCTTCATCTCCTCATCTTGCCTCTCCTCCTCCTCCTCCTCCTCCTCCTCCTCCTCCTCCTCCTCCTCCTCCTCCTCCTCCTCCTCCTCCCCCTCCTCCTCTTCCTCCTCCTCCTCCTCCTCCTCCTCCTCCTCATTCTGACTTTAGGTCGCTCCACAACAACCTCCTCCTCCTCCTCCCCCTCCTCCCCTTCCTGCTCTTCCTCCTCCGCCTCCTTAGCAGGGCTAGTGCAGGATAGCCCAGGGGCATTTATATTACCTGGGAGAAGGAGCCCGCCAACATGATCCAGTCCGCCCACCCATGGAGGGAAAATCATTTCCGCCGCGACGCGGAGGTTTTAGGAACAGAAGGGTGGGACCAAAATCCTCAGAGGTGAGGAGGCGGAGGAGGAGGAGGAGGAGAAGTTGAGAAAGGAGGAGGGGAACAGGAGGAGAGGAGGTGCAACGCAGAGAAAGAGAACTCAACGGGAGTTTGACTCTCCCTCGCCGCCCGCTGCAGAATAGGAGGAGGCCCTGCGCTTCCTGGCGGAGGTCCTTGAGGAGGGCGGCGGCCAGGAGCAGCCGGCGCCGTGATGCGCGGGCCCGGGGCGGCCTGGCAGACGCGCGATCGCAAGGCGGGCGGGACGATCGAAATAGTTACGGGAAAAATGGGTACGATGCCCAACAGCAGTTCGTGCTCATTTTGGACAGGACTCGCTGTCCGCGCCACCGCGGACGCTGTTCTTTGAAGACGAAGGGCCGCCTGCCCAAGAGCGGCCGCTGTCGGCCATGGACAGCATGTGTTGTCGGGCATTGTGCCCGCCTTCTCCGTGCCAATTTCGAGCGTCCAAAGCGGGTCATGACCAGCCAGGGGGGCGTCGGGCCAGGCAACAAAAATGCTTCATACTTCCCAGGCCACCATCGAGCCATGATAATAGATTGCGGCGGGCGTTTCTTCTTGGTTTTCTGCCTCCAGGGGCTCTTTTTCCGGGCTTCGGGAGCGTCAAAAAATGGCTCACGATGGAGAGCGGGTCCCGCGGAATGGGTCGACTCTTCTAGGGTCGACGGTATGAAAAATCATGACGTCGGGGGTCTGGGTCCTCCTCCCTCTCCTTTCATGCTCCTCGTTTCGATTTCGGTGCGCAGCGTTCGTATTTCCAGAGTCCAGGTCTTTTCTACGGAGGACCTGCAACGTTCGAACTTCCCTCGTTTCTGCATGGGCGTCGTCGTAGCAGTTCGCTGAGGCAGCGTAGACTCGACTCGACTCAGTTCCTCCTCGTCCTCGTCGTCCTCGTCGTCGTCGTCGTCGTCGTCCTCCTCCTCCTCCTCCTCCTCCTCCTCCTCCTCCTCCTCCTCCTGCTCGCGATCAGCGCGGCCGCTGCCTCTCGCCGCAGAGCACTCGCAGCGAGCTGACGCGGACACCGCTGCCCAGGCGCTTTTCCCAGAAGGCTTCCAGAACACCATCCGGTGCCGCATCCGAGCAGGGTGTCTGAACCGGGCGGTCCCTGCCGACCTTTGCCAGAGGTTCGCCGCGGAGGGGGGGAGCGGGTCTCCCGAGGGAAACGGGTCCCGAGGCTCTGCGCTGCTCCTGGGGCTCCTGGGGCCCTGCACGGGCCCCAGGACCGGCAGAAAAAGACTCGGGAGGAGGAGACCATCCTGGGGGAGAGCTCCAGGGTCCAGGACCCGCTTCCCTCAGGACTCGTTTCCCCCATGCTGCGAGTGGATTCGCCTCGAAGCTCAGCTTGCTGCCGCTGCCCCGGGCGCGTGCTGGACAGCCTCGGGGGCCGGTGGAGCTGCGAGGACGGCACGGACCAGATCTTGCACTACAGTCAGGCGATCGCATCCATGGATCGCTAATCCATGTTTGCGCGCCCCCGATACAGTGGGGGCCCATGCCGAGAAACAGTCCCCGCTGTCGACGAATTGCCGGGCTGAACATGTGCCCCGCGCCCAAGCGAGATCTGCGCGGCGCCAGGGCGAGAGACGTGTGTTATGTTGTGCGCGATGTGCTACGCGTCCCCATCCCGCCCCTTGCAATGCCGGCGCCACAACGTCAATATTGAGAGGAGCTCGTGAATGTGCATCGCCTGATTGATTTGTACGATGGAGGGTCTCCGTCACGGGGGCTACGGCCAGCTAGGTGTCAGAGAGGATGAGTCATAACATGAGTTTGCCTATTGCAGATCGGTTCATGCGGTGTGCCAGTTTGCCGAGCGACCTTTCGATCCGCGATGTGGTTGTGTCACCCGTGCTGGTTTGCGTGAAGGAAAAAGTGGGAGTGTATAGGAATCTAAAACAGAGACGATGAGGAGGAAGCGGTTGAGCAGGAGCAGGACGAGGCGGAGGAGGATGGGAAGGAGGAGGATTTCGATAATGATAGTGGTAATGGTCGCTTCTCTTTGCTATGTGATGGATTTGGAGAAGGAGGAGGATGAACAGGAGGAGGAGGAGGAGGAGGAGTAGGAGCAGGAGGAGGAGCAGAGGGAGGAGGAGGAGGACAAGAGGAAGACGGAGCAGGATTATAGGAAGGATCATAACGCGACTGAGGAGGAGGAGGAGGAGGAGAGGAGGAGGAGGGGAGGAGGAGGAGGAGGAGGAGGAGGAGGGGGGGAAGAGGGGAGGAGACGGAGGAGGAGGAGGAGGAGGAGGAGGAGGAGAGGAGGAGGAGGAGGAGGAGGAGGAGGAGGAGCAGAAGGAGGAGCAGGAGGAGGAGCAGGAGGAGGAGGAGGAGGAGAGGAGGGGAGGAGCCGCAGACGACCGACCGCGCCGGCGCCCCCCCCCCCCCTGCTTCGGGGGGCCTCGGCCCGCGCCCGCGTTGCCCGCGGGCAGCGCGCCCCGCGAGGTCCCGCCCTGCGGCTCAGAAGCAGCCGCGGACGGCAAGCGGAGGGGCCACGGCCTCTGGAACTCGCAGGCCGCCCGCGCGGCGCCGGCCGGCCTCGCCCTCGCCCCCGCCCCCCCCCTCCCCCCCTCCCCCTCCCTCCCTCCCTCCCCCCATCTGACCGCTGTCCATGGCGAATCAGGTCGCAATTCAAAAATTCCCTCCCCCCCTCCCCCTCTCCCCCCCTCCCCAACCATGCGCAAATCCAGACCATGCGTGGGCAGGCTGCGGTTTGCTCTGGATGGTGGGCCCCAGGGGCTTGCACCACCACTGTTTTAGGGCTCCTTAGCCCCGCCAAGGATGACCCCCAATTTAGGCTTCGGTACGAGCAGTTGAATGGATTTGCCACCCTTTGGAACGGACTTGGGCACAAAAAACGATTGGACATTGCACGTACATGGGCTTTGATTCTTAAGAAGTTTTCTGCCACGCAGCACCGATGGCAGGTTGTTCGAGGTCCGGTAGCAGCCACCGTCGCCGTGCTTATGGATTTGCAGTGGGAACCCGTGTCACCTGTGCTCTGGCGCGTTGGTACAGTTGAGCTCCGCACGACCGACGCGGATGTCCCCTCCTGTCTCTGGTCTCTTTTGGAGACGACATGTTCGCGTATGTCTTGGCAGCAAGCAGCACGACATTACATGGGGAAGGAAGTAGAGCAGGGGGTGGAGATGGTGGGTCCAGTGGCGTGAGGCACTGCGCGGACCTGAGGTAGACCTCGCCGTCCCTGGGGGGCTGCGATCTGTGAAGTTGTCGCCACTTTCGAGGGCTGCTGGTGGGTCCAGCGAAGTGAGGCACTGCGCGGACCTGAGGTAGACCTCGCCGTCCTTGGGGGGCTGCGATCTGCGGAGCTGTCGCCACTTTCGAGGGCCGCTGGTGGGTCCAGCGGGGTGAGGCACTGCGCGGACCTGAGGTAGATATCGCCGTCCTTGGGGGATTGCCATCTGCGAAGCTGTCGCCACTTTCGAGGGCTGCTGGTGGGTCCAGCGGGGTGAGGCACCGCGCGGACCTGAGGTAGATCTCGCCGTCCTTGGGGGATTGCCATCTGCGAAGCTGTCGCCACTTCCGAGGGCTGATGGTGGGTCCAGTGGCGTGAGGCATTGCGCGAACCTGAGGTAAACCTCGCCGTCCCTGGGGGGCTGCGATCTGCGAAGTTGTCGCCACGTTCGTGGGCTGCTGGTAGGTCCAGCGGAGTGAGGCACCGCGCGGACCTGAGGTAGACCTCGCCGTCCCTGGGGGGCTGCGATTTGCGAAGCTGTCGCCTCTTTCGAGGGCTGCTGGTGGGTCCAGCGGAGTGAGGCATCGCGCAGGCCTCAGGTAGACCTGAGGGGCTGCGATCTGCGACACCGTCGCCACTTTCGAATGCTGTTGGTGGGTCAGCGGACTGAGGCACCGCGCAGACTTGGGGGGCTGCGATCTGCGACACCGTCGCCACTTTCGAGGGCTGCTGGTGGGTCCAGCGGCGTGAGGCACCGCGCGGACCTGAGGTAGACCTCGCCGTCCCGCGGGGGCTGCGATTTGCGAAGCTGTCGCCTCTTTCGAGGGCTGCTGGTGGGTCCAGCGGGATGAAACACCGAGCAGACCTGAGGTAGACCTCGCCGTCCCTGGGAGGGCTGCGATCTGCGACACCGTCGCCACTTTCGAGGGCTGCTGGTGGGTCCAGCGGGGTGAGGCGCCGCGCAGACCTGAGCGAGACCTCGACGTCCCTGGGGGGGTGCGATCTGCGACACCGTCGCCACTTTTTCGAGGGCCGCTGGTAGGTCCAGCGGAGGGAGGCACCGCGCAGCCCTGAGCGAGACCTCGCCGTCCCTGGGAGGGCTGCGATCTGCGAAGCTGTCGCCACTTTCGAGGGCTGCTGGTGGGTCCAGCGGGGTGAGGCACCGCGCGGACCTGAGGTAGGTCTCGCCGTCCTTGGGGGATTGCCATCTGCGAAGCTGTCGCCACTTTCGAGGGCTGATGGTGGGTCCAGTGGCGTGAGGCACTGCGCGGACCTGAGGTAAACCTCGCCGTCCCTGGGGGGCTGCGATCTGCGAAGTTGTCGCCACGTTCGTGGGCTGCTGGTAGGTCCAGCGGAGGGCCACTTTCGAGGGCTGCTGGTGGGTCCAGCGGAGTGAGGCACCGCGCGGACCTGAGGTAGACCTCGCCGTCCCTGGGGGGCTGCGATTTGCGAAGCTGTCGCCTCTTTCGAGGGCTGCTGGTGGGTCCAGCGGGATGAAACACCGAGCAGACCTGAGGTAGACCTCGCCGTCCCTGGGAGGGCTGCGATCTGCGACACCGTCGCCACTTTCGAGGGCTGCTGGTGGGTCCAGCGGGGTGAGGCGCCGCGCAGACCTGAGCGAGACCTCGACGTCCCTGGGGGGGTGCGATCTGCGAAGCTGTCGCCACTTTTTCGAGGGCCGCTGGTAGGTCCAGCGGAGGGAGGCACCGCGCAGACCTGAGCGAGACCTCGCCGTCCCTGGGAGGGCTGCGATCTGCGAAGCTGTCGCCACTTTCGAGGGCTGCTGGTGGGCTCTCCACTTTCGAAGGCTGCTGGTGGGTCCAGCGGAGTGATGCAATGCGCAGACCTGAGCGGGACCTCGCCGTCCCTGGGCGGCAATGTCATGTTGTTGTTGCCCCGCCGACGTTTCAAGCCCCATGCCCACAGTCTCCTTTTGGACCTTGCGTCTTCCTTAGTGACTTCACGGGCTCACTTCGTTACTCATCGTTTTTCCCTTGATTGTGGACATGCGAACCTTCCGACTGCCGCTCGCAGAAGTATATGCGTCCATGTCACGTCGCCGCCTTCTCGCCAAATCTCCTAAGCTACTCATGCCCCGCATTGCGCAGGGGTTGGGTACGTCGCCAGGGTAAGTTTCAGAGGTTTATGGCTTCGGGGGCGCGAGCATTTCGTAATTCCATGTGTTTATGGTCTCGGGGGCGCGAATATCGGGTAAGTTACGATGGTTTATGGTTTCGGGGACGCGAATCGTAATTTACGAAGGATTATGGTTTCGGGGACGCGAATCTTGTGTAGCTTACGAATGTGTATTGCCTCGGTGACGCGAACACGGCGTAATTTACCAAGGGTTTATGGCCTCGGGGACGCGAATATTGCGATTTGCGAGGGTTTGTGGCTTCGGGGACGCAAGAATGGTGTGCCCTGGGGGCGCGAACATTCCATAATCTACATAAGTTTATGGTCTCGGGGACGCGAATATCGTGTAATCCACTCGGTTGTATGGTTCTGGGGGCGCGAACATTGCGTAATTTACGAAGGATCATGGCCTCGGGGACGCGAATACGGTGTAATTTACTAAGAACTCTGGCTTCGGGAATGTTAATATAATGTATTTTTACGTGTCCCACGCCCCCCAGGAATTCGGACAACCAACGCGATTCGGGGACGCTAACCAGGACGCTTTTTGGCTCCCCCCCCCCCCCTCGCGCCTTCAGCGACAACTAACAGCAGGGAAACAGAAACCAGGACTGCAGCAGTGGAAGCTGGAAACTGCAACTGGAACAGGCAGCTGCAATCCTCACCCTCGCATCCTGGTGGCCCCGCAAGGGGGCCGGCGGATACATGGTCCAGGGTCTGGGCCCCCCCCCTCCCCCCCAACGGGTCGCCCCCCCCCTTCAACCCCCGAGGGGTCCCTCCCCCCCTCCGTGTGGACGTGGTGTGGGTGTGGTGTGTTGCTGTGGGTGTGTGCTCGGTGGCACCATGGTCCTCCCCCCCAGTGGGTACCCCCCCCTTCCCCCCCGAGGGGTCCCTCCCCCCCCCGTGTGGATCTGGTGTGGGTGTGGTGTGTTGCTGTGGGTGCGTGCGGGGTGGCACCATGGTCCTCCTCCCCTCCTCCCCCCGTGGGTGCGGCGTGGGTGCGGCGCGCGGCTGTGATGGGCGTCACGTTGACAGCTCCGGTGCTCGACGTCATCGCCGCCGCCGCTGGTGGTGCCGTCGGCGTCGTCGTCGTTGTCGTCGTCGTCGTTGTCGTCGTCGTTGTTGTCGTCGTCGTCGTGGTCGTCGTCGTGGTCGTCGTCGTCGTCGTCGTCGTCGTCGTCGTCGTCGTTGTCGTCGTCGTCGTCGTCGTCGTCGTCGTCGTGCCCCCCCCATCCCATCTGGGGGGGGAAGGGGGGGGGCTTGTGAAACCCTGTGGCCCATCCCATCTGGGGGGGAGGGGGGGGGCTTGTGAACCCTGGACCCAGGATCATATATACAGATTCGGGCCTGGGCCGAATATCTTGCCGAGGTCCCCGAAGCTCGACTGCCGGGCGGTGATCATGGACAAATCCCCACCGCGCACCTGCACGCGAGCGACGGGACGAGAGGGGGCCTGGTTCGCCCACATTCGCCGCGCGGGCCACCTGCGTGAGGCCACCTGGCAGAATATCTGGAGGAGGTGGGGTCCAGCGCCGATTCAAGAAGTCCCCGCGGCTCTCCGAACGTGTATATGCTCATGCCCTCTTCTGTCATGACATAAGGGCGCCCCCCTCTTCCTCAACCGAAAACCTGAACCGGACGCGGAACATGGCCCGGAAGCGGAACCAGAACCGGAACCAGAACCAGAACCGTAACCAGAATTGGAACCGGAGCCAGAATTGGAACCGGAACTGGAGCCGGAACCGGAATTGGAACCGGAACCCGGACAAGAACCAGGCGCGGGCCTCCCTGAGGGACTTACATTGTCCTCGACAGCGTGCTCCGAACAAGTGTGATAAAAAGTTGAACAAGTACGATCAAACATTGTGATACAAATATTCCGAACAAGTGTGATCAAACAACTTGTTCGGAGTTGTTTGTTTCACACTTGCTCTGAGTTTGTTTTATCACAGTCTGTTATCACAGCTTTCTATCACCGGTTTTTGTGTCACGCTTGTTCGGAGAATCCTGGGCAGGCCATCGGGCCATGTCGCCACGGCGCGCTCCGGACGAGTGGCCCGCCCTCGACGGTGCGGCCTCGCCCTCCGGTAGTGCGAAACGGCGGCGGGTGCGCCGGTGGCAGGCGGCGTACAAGGCGGCGGGAGTGAGAGGGGCAGGAGCCCAGTCGGCGGCGAGCGAGGGGGGCAGGTTTCGGGTTCGAGGTTCGAGGCTTTCGGGAGCGTTCGTCGGTTCTCCTCCTCCTCCTCCTCCTCCTCCTCCTCCTCCTCCTCCTCCTCCTCCTCCTCCTCCTCCTCAGGACCCCAAGCCAAGTGCGGTGGCGCGCAACGGGGGGGGAGGAGGAGGAGAAGGCTTCCTCCTCCTCCTCCTCCTCCTCCTCCTCCTCCTCCTCCTCCTCCTCTCAGAAGGCGGCGGGGCTTCTCGGAAGCCCGCCGGCCTTCTGAGCCGTGCTCGGTGTCTTCGGGGTTGAGGCTTCTAGGGAGCTTCCCGGGAGGCCAGGGGACTTGCGAGCCTTCTGAGGCTGGCGGCGGGCGGCGGGAGTGACAGGGTAAAGGGGCTCAGGGGGGTGGGCGGCATCGACCCCGATCGCCCCCTCCTGGTAGGTGTAGTTCTCGCTCTGGCCCCTGCTGGCTCGAGGTGCCCGCGCCACCGCCACAGCTGTGCAGCAAGGGGGGCAGCTCGGGGACACGTCGCCGTTCTCGTTGCCGTCGCCTCTCGTTGTCGCCGTCGTCGTCGTCGGAGCGGAGGAGGAGGAGGAGGAGGAGGAGGAGGAGGAGGAGGAGGAGGAGGAGGAGGAGGAGGAGGAGGAGGAGGAGGAGGAGGAGCGGAGGAGCGGAGGAGGAGGAGGAGGAGGAGGAGGAGGAGGAGGAGGAGGAGGAGGAGGAGGAGGAGGAGGACGAGCATGCAGGGCGGTGGACGCAATGGGATGGACCCAGACATGCGATGTTCTGTCGTTTTTAAGACGCTGTCCCCGCAAGGTCAGGCCCTTTTCCCAGGGCGGGCTCTTCTTCCAGAACCGCGCTGTGACAATCCCGAGGCCCAGCGAGGGCCTCCAGAGGCCGAAAACTATGAGACACCTTCTGTCTTGTTTTCAGCACGTAGCCTGCCAGGGGGGTCAAACTTTCGAGAGGCGGCGTGATGGTGGCCCAGTGCCAAGCATGCTCGGACGGCGCCCGCCAGGTCGAGGGCCCATGCTACCGGGGCAAGCGGTGCCAGGGGTCCCTGCAGCAGCTGGGGGAAGACCTGAGCGTGCCCACCTGTGCAAAGGCGCGCGGCCTGGGACGGCACTCGAAGGACAAACAACTGCTTGAACATAAGCCCTGACCTTCCAGAGAGCTATTGTTTAGCACTGGAGGCCTAAAAACCTAAAAAACTTAGCGAAACAGCCTAAAACCAAGGCGTAGAATAATAGCTGCGGGATAGGTTTTTACATCGGGTGCTATTTTTTAGCCCTCCTGGAAGGTCAGGGAACGTTTGGAGCTCCGCGCGGGTTTCCCAGATCGGCGCCGGCCGCCCCCCCCCGGCGGCGCCTCCGACGCCGCCCCTGGCGCGCTCCGCGCGCCAGGCAGGCGGTCCATGTGCGGCGCACACTCGAAAGACACATCCGCGCGGAGTTCCGAAAGCTTGTGTTTCATGCTTTTGCTTCTTCTTCGTAGGGAAAGCAGACGCGTAATCAGAGGCATGGATTCATACACATCCAGCGTCTGGGGAGTCGATTTTGCTGGACCTCGGCTGGAAGTGGATATGGACATTTTCGTTCCGCTCCCCTGGAGCCCAAACGTATCTATATCTGCTGCCCCCATGGGTTCCTGGGAGATCGGTTGCCCAGGCGGTGGATATGTTAATATCTCCGCCTCGCACAGAGAGGTGCGGCGAATGATGGGAAAAGAGCATCTAAGTATGAGGACGACTGGGATGAGGAAGGGTGAGGAGGAGGAGGAGAAGAATAGGAAAGAGGATGACGGCAGGAAGGGGACTCGCTCATGGGGGGATGACTGGTCGGCATCAAACGGGAAAAGGAGTAGGGTAATCTGCAGGGCAATCTCGACGCTCATTTGGATGACGGTGGCGCGCTCCGCCTGGCACGACAACGTGCTGCCACATCGCGCGCGCCCTCCACGCCCCCATTTTCTGAGAAGGGGCTATTGTGGAGTATGTGGCCGTGGGACTACTATCTACTTCTTCGCTCCTGAGGAAGGGCCCCTTGCCCTCTTGAGGAGGAAGAAGATGATGAGAAGGAGAATGAGGCGTGACAGCGCCCCAGTCCCGTGTGGCAGAGCGAAAACTCCACAACGGCCCGGTCTCCGTTTTCTGCGTGGGTGGGCCGCTGGGACGCCGAGTCGGGCGCTCACCCTGCAGCCTCCCACGCGAGCTCGCACTCGAAGGGCGGAGCGGCGATCTCCGGCGGTCCTGCGGCCCGCGCCGACGGAGCAGAGCAGCGGCAGGCCTCCTCCGCGCCGAGAAGCTGGCCCGCCCATTCCGCGCCCACCCGCGGGGGTCGAGGCCCCAGGTGGCGCGGCCGTCTGAGAAGACTGCCCTTCTCACTGTGCCGCCCGCTCCACCCTGAGATCCGACGCAGCGGAGAAGTGGCAGCATCGCAGAAACCACGCGCGGAGCCCTGGGCCTCAGCTTCCCGCGGCGTGCTTCGAGCCGGCTCGGTCTCCGAGGGCCCAGGGGCCCGAATGGGGGGCGGAGGCATCCTGCTCGAAAAAATGGAGCCGCCAGGATTTCGGGGAACGGGGGCCTCAAAACTCTGCCCCGAAGCGCGATCCACGTGACGCGGCCGGCCTGGGCCAGACCTGAGTGAGGCCACGCTCGGGTGTTGCCAGAAGTGCCTCTGCCCCAAGGTGCCCCCAGCTTTTCACTCTATTTGGGGGCTGGGCCTGCACCCAGCCTTTCGCTCCATTTTGGTGCCCCTGGGGCCCTCTGGGCCTCGTGAGGGGTGCTCTGGAGGCCGTCTGGGCCGCCCCGAGAATCCTGGGGGCACCTTGGGCCAGGGGTGCTTCTAGCAACACCCGACACGCGTGTGGCCAGCTGCCTTTCCAGCGCACCCGGCCCTGCTGTGGCCGCGCGGGGGTGGGCTTCCGCGCGTGCGCAGCCAGCGGCGCGCGGCCTCCGCAGGCGCACCACGCATTGCAGCCGTGTGTGTGTGTGTGTGTGTGTGTGTGTGCGTGCGTGCGTGCGTGCGTGCGTGCGTGCGTGCGTGCGTGCGTGCGTGCGTGCGCGCGCGTGTGTGTGTGTGTGTCTGTGTGTGTGTGTGTGTGTCGACGACGCGTCACGTGAGCCCCGGAGCACAGGCGAGCATCCGATTGAAAGACCTCCCTCGGGGGCGGCCAAGAGGGGGATGATGACTGGGGGGGGTCGATATCGCGGCAGGGGCCGTGGTATCGCGCCAGATGTCGTGGCGCCTCGTCTTATTGTATCGCGTGAGCCCCAGGGCCCAGGCGAGCATCTGATTGAGAGGCCTCCTTCGGGGGCGGCCAAGAGGGGGATGATGACTGGGGGGGGTCGACATCGTGGCGGGGGCCGTGACATCGTCCCAGGTGTCGTGGCGCCTCGTCTGATTTCATCGCGTGAGCCCCGGGGCCCAGGCGAGCATCTGATTGAGAGGCCTCCTTCGGGGGCGGCCAAGAGGGGGATGATGACTGGGGGGGGTCGACATCGTGGCGGGGGCCGTGGTATCGCGCCAGATGTCGTGGCGCCTCGTCTTACTGCATTGCGTGAGCCCCGGAGCACAGGCGAGCATCTGATTGAGAGACCTCCTTCGGGGGCGGCCAAGAGGGGGATGATGACTGGGGGGGGGGGTCGATAACGTGGCGGGGGCCGTGACATCGCCCCAGATGTCGTGGCGCCTCGTCTGATTTCATCGCGTCCCCGGCCCCATGCCGCCGGCCATGATTTGCGCCCCCCCCTCTTGGATGCCCGCCTCTTGGACGCTCCCGACTCTTCCCGAACAGCTGGGCCAGCGTTTCGCAACCGACTTGCGGGGAAGCTGGCCGAGTTTCTTGAGCGCGTTCGCCCTTCTATAGCGACAACAGCAGACATTGGCCCAAGTTTGTTTTTCAAGGCACTTCCGGGAAGCTGGTCCAGATCTCTTGAATTAGAAGTTCTTTGATCGTGTTCGCGGCTCGTAGAGGCCCCTCCCCCCTTCCTGCCCCGTACTCTCCCTGGGGCAGGGAACAGGGCTCCTGGCAGCGAAAGATTTGTTATTCGTCCCCCCCCGGATTTTTGTCGTCGTCGGTCGTCGTCGGCCGTCGGCCGTCGTTTCTCGTCCTTCGTCGTTCGTCGTGGCTAGCCATGGCGCAGGAGGCTTCCCCCCGAGGGCCCTGAAGAGGAGGAGAAGGAGGGGGGGGGGGCGACAGGAGGGGCCCTGCAGCGTCACGTCTCTGCGCCCGTGGCGCGTCTGGGAGTTGCCGGGGGCCACGGCGACGCAAACGACGCCGCAGGGCTGGGCACCCAGTGTCTTGACCTCCTCTCCAGGGCGGGCTCTTCATCCCGGGCCGTTCTGTTGACGGTCTCCTGGGCGTCCGGAGGGTGGCCGGGGGCGTCGGCCGGGCTCTGCGCACGCGTGGCGCTGGGAGAGTGGCCGGGGGCGACGGCGACTCAAGCGACGCCGCAGACAGGGGCATCAGGTATATATCCGGATTTTTTCAATGCGGCGGGGGCGTTCGTCAAGGAATGTGCCCAGGAGGCTTCAGACCCTGGAGGATTCCTCATCTGATGAGGGCGGCGGTGATGTCCCTGGCCAAGCCTCAGTTGGTGTTCCACCAGCATGCAGACCTTCTCGCAATGCCATCACCGTAATCTCGCGGTCCCCAGAGGTCCTGACCTTTGCCCCAGGGCCGGCTCATCCCGAGTCGTTCTGTTGAACGTCCCGGGCTCGGCGGTGGCTTCCAGATGCCGACAACGACAAGCAGCATTTGCCTTTAATCTGTCAATGCGTTGGACGACCACGACGACGACGTCAACCACCGAGGACGACGAGGACGACGACGACGATGTTGACGACGTTGACGACGACGACGACGACGACGACGACGACGACGACGACGACGACGACGACGACGGACGACGGACGACCGACGACCGACGACCGACGACCGACGACCGACGACGTCGGCGATCGCCGCCGCCGCTGCCGGGTTTGGCCGCGGCGGCGGCGGCGGCCGTGGCTGGGCGGCCACGGCAGGCTCAGAGATGCTGATGATGACGATGCTGATGAGGATGATTCCGATGCTGATGATGTTGATGATGATGATTGTTATGATGATGATGGTGATGATGATGCTGATGCTGATGCTGATGATGATGATGATGGTGATGATGACCATGAGGATGATGATGCTGATGAGGATGATGATGCTGATGATGACGATGATGATGCTGATGATTATACTGATTCCGATGATAATTATGATGATGATGACGATGATGAAAGTGATGATGATGATGCTGATGCTGATGATGATGACGATGTTGACGATGATGAAAGTGATGATGATGATGCTGATGCTGATGATGATGATGATGATGACGATGATGATGGTGATGATGATGCTGATGCTGATGATGATGATGATGATGCTGATGCTGATGCTGATGCTGATGATGATGATGATGCTGATGCTGATGCTGATGCTGATGCTGATGCTGATGCTGATGCTGCTGATGATGATGATGATTGTTATGATGATGATGATGATGATGATGATGATGATGATGCTGATGCTGATGATGACGATGATGATGATGATGATGATGATGATGAGGATGATGAGGATGATGATGATGATGATGATGACGATGATGATGATGATGATGATGATGATGATGATGATGATGATGATGACGATGATGGTGGGGTCGTGAAAACAATCACGGCGCGAGGTCTTTGACTCTTGTCGGCCTCTTTTTGTGCCCTCGCCGGGCCGTGGTGGACCGCCGGAAGCAGCCCCGGGATGAGAGGCCGGCCGGAGGCGAAGGGGTCCAGGCTTCGGGGGGCCGCGCGCGAAAGAAAGGCAGACATTGCATGCCGCCGATCACCACCCACCAAACCATCCCAACCCAACCCGAAGGCCCAAATTTGTCCTCGATTTCCAGTGGGGGGGGGTCGGGGAACGTTGCAAAAACACGTGGTATCCGTACCCCCCCCCCCAACCCGAAATTCGGGTCAAATTCGGGTCTTCGGGTTGGGTTGGGGTGGTCTGGTAGGTAGTCAGCCGAGGCGGGCGGCCGGCCAAACGCGCGCGCGCGCGCGCGTGGCGGCGGCGGCGGCAGCAGCATCGCCGGCCACCATGTGACGGACGAGGAGTTGTAGGCGTTGTTTTGCTCTGGGTTTCGACGTTTGGCCGAAGGGTGGAGGAGGGGGGGGGGCTGGGCCTGGGCCTGGGCCTGTGCTTGGCCGACCTGTCCCTGCTGGTCGCGCCAGCAGGCTGGGGAGAAAGGTCTTGAACAGTCGCCAGAATCGGCCAAGTCTCGGCTGGCTCTGCAGCCGAGGGCGGGTGCACAGCAGGTCCTGCTCGGTGGAGTCCCCTTCCCATCGGTTGGGGGAGCGGGCAGTTCTCATCGCTCTCGGAGTCTGGAGGGAAGAAGAAGAAGCACAAACACAAAAACAACAAGCATCTGGTCTGCGAGGGGGAGAGGGGCGGGGGCGGGGGGGCCCGCGCCGATCGGCGAAGCAACACACGGGTAAAACCACGGCGTCTGATGAGCCAAACTGGTCCGCCGTCGGGGGCGCCTGCCCCAGGGGCAGCAGGCAAGCTGCTGCTCCTGCGGTGGCACGCCGGGGACTGCAGGCTTTCCAGCCGCCGCGGGGCAGGCGCCCCCCGACGGCGGGAGAGTCTAGCACGCGGCCGGGCCGAGGCGGAAGGCCGAGGCGGGGTCGTGCAGGGCACCCCAAGGGCCTTCGTGCTCGTTGGACGTTCGAGGTGTAGAATCGGATCGAGGTGGGCACCGTGAGGTTCTGCGTGCTTGGTCGGATGCTCCTGTGCACCCTGGTGGAGGGGATTACCCAGTGCCCGCGAGTGCTCTTCGGTTTGGCAGGCAGAGGGTCTCATCATGCTCTTGAGGGGTGTTCTTCTGCGGTCGCGCCTCTCGACTGCTCTTCCGCCTGGCAGGCGGAGGATCTCGTGTTCCTGAAGGACGTTCTTCGACGCTCGAGCAAATGGTTCAGAACCTCCTCCCGGAAAGCGGGGCCAGCGTCTCTTGACCAAGTTGCCAGAGGAGCTGGCCCAGTTTCTTGAGCACGTTCGCCCCTCTAGCGCCAAGAGCAGAAGTCAGCCCAGGCTTGCTTGAAGAAACTTCAGGGAAGCTGGCCCAGATATCCTCAATCTGATTTTATGGATCGCATGTCGGGCTGCACCTTGCGAGAAAACTGAGCGTTTGGGGTCTTCTCTACGCTGGGCGTCATCGCCGCCGCCCGGTGCCAGGCCCCCCGGGGGCCCTCGCAGATCGACCAGAGGCCCGAGACATGGCACACGGAGAGAGGTTTGGTGCTCACCCTGAGACCCAACGCAGCGGATCCATCGTGAAAGATCGCGGCCAGAGCCTTGCCTCCCGCCCGCCTGCCCCCTACTGCGGGCCCGGCTCCATCCGCAGGGGCCCTGCGGGCCAAAAGCTGGGCGGAGGCGCCGGCTCGAACGGACCGAGGCGACAGGACATCAGGGTCTGCACCCAGACATGCCATGTCCAGATCTTTGTGCAGCATGGGGTCCTCCAGAAGTCCCGACCCCTTCCCCAGGGACCCGTTTTTCATCGTGAGTCGTTTTGTGGACGGTCTCGAGGCCTGGCGGGGGGCCCCTGAGGCCGAAAGCGGCAAACAATTGCCCGTCGTATCTTTTTCCACGACGCTGGCATGTCAGCGCATAGTCAACCCTGACAGTAAAGATCGGCTTCCCAAGGGTACCCTTGCATCCTTGCCTCTTCATTTATCTTCGGTCCATCCTCAGCCACTTTCGATGGGCAGCTCCGCTCGAAGAGCCTCGGCATGCGCGACCAAGGCTCTGGCAGCCTTACCGCGCATCCTTACTCAATGGGTTGACTCTATAGTGCTCTCGTCGTGATGTGTCGCAGTGTCGGGTCTCGGGGGCGCGCGTTTGGCGGCGGCGGCGCCGCCGAGGGATCGGCGCGCGGGCCCCCATCACTCCGCGGCAGGGGCAGCGCCCGGCGGACGCGGCCAGCGGGGTCGCGGCCTCGGCGGCCGCCTTTCTAGGGTCTGGGGGGCGACGTCAGTCGAGGAATGAGAAATGGCACAAAAAGTCATGACTGGTCGAACCGAGTTATGAGATCGAGGTCGGTTCGGGGAGGGTAACCTAATCTTCTTCGTGTTCGTTGGATGTTCTTGTGAATCCTGCGGAGGGGTATCCCTGGATGTTCTGCATGTTTTGGCCAGCGGAGGGTCTCATGTTCTTAAAGGATTGTATTATGTCCCAGGTCTGGCCGTAAGTTGAACACACACACACAAGAGCGGTTTTGTATTTGTCTGGGCCTCCCAGACGGGGTCCGAGTAGATGGGGTCGGAGGATCTCGCCGCATCGCCGATGCATCGGCGATGCGGCTCGATGTGGAGCCCGATTTTTCCACGCCGTCGGCGCCGGGACACCGCCGACGTCGATGCATCGTCGATGCATCGTTGGTACATCGCCGAACCATTGGCGATGCATTGGCGATGCGGCGCGACCCTCCGACCCAATCTACTCGGACCCCATCTGGGAGGCCACTGCCAGTGCTACCACTGCTGCGTTGATGGTGTCACTCCAGGGGATTGAGACTGTATTGTTTGAACTCACTGGGTTCATGTCCTAGAACGTCATTGTTGTTCTTAGAACATTCTTTTGTTCTAAGAGCATGCCGTGGTAGGCCTATAGGAATGCCGGGACGGTCGGTCCCTGATCAACTTGTCGGGCCTCATGGGAGGCCCTCGTCGCCACGGCTGGGTTCGCCTCGAGGCCTTGGTCAGAAAGCAACGCTGGAGAAGCCTGGGGAGTGCGAATATAGGTACCCTTGTGTGAAGAAGAAGAAGAATAAGAAGAATGATACTTATAATAACAAGAAGCAACCTCATAACCATAAATGTTCGGAAGTCCGTGCTGATTTCTCGGATCTGCGTTGGATCAAAGGAAGGGGGCCTGGCTCAGATCCGAGAAATCCACGCGCACTCTCGAATGTGTATGCTTATATCGTTTTCCTGTCTCGAGGAAGCATTACGCGCATTCGCGGGGAAGCCTCGCCGAAGACATGAACCATTGGCGCCCCTGGTTGCACGTAATGCTCCCCCTGACTTCGCTCCTATAGTCCCCTCTGGCTCTTCTCTCTCTTCGTCTCTTTCTTTTCTAGCCCCGTGCCCAACACCTCGGGCAGCGTCGCATGGAGGGGCAGCCTCGCAGGGAGGCGCTGTGCTGGTTATGAACATCAAGGCGCAGCGACCATGCCCCGAACTTCGGTTTTCCAAGCGCTTGAGACGCAACGGAACGCTACGAATTTCGGCCCTCGCACCCCCCCCCCCTCCGTGGCGCAAGGGGGAGGGGGAGGAACAGGGTAAGCCCAGCACGCGCCAATGTTGCTGCTGCGCAGCCTCCCGTTCCGCACCCTCTCCCCGTGAAATTTAATGGGGGGCGTTGCTTCCACCGCAGCGGGCATTCACTGGACAGACGTAGTTACTGGAGATTTCTGCTGAGAGCTCAATGTGCACATTGTTCATTCCTGAGTATTCGAACGTCCTTTAATTTTTGGGGGGCCAAGATCCTTGCATTTCTAAGTGGTTTATCCTGGGCCTCTTCCTGGACACCAGGGGGCCAGGAACAATTAGAAATGAGCACACTTAGAAATGAGCACGATTAGAAATGAACGACGTGTACGCGTCAATGAGCGTCACAAAGCAGAATGAGCTCGGTGGGAACAGCCTTTCATCAGTTTTAACTTCTCGGACATGCAAGACACGTGTTCGGCACTGGTGCGAGGGCGCAGGTTTGAAAAACGTGTGCCCTCCATCCGTTCAGTTTCTGAGATGTTGGAGCTCCACGGTTGCAGCTTTCCGCCGCTGTGGACGCCAAAGAGAAAGTTCATGCACTTTCGATGCGTAACATATGTTGTGCATATCGTGGACGTTGTAACTCGCAGCAGCTTTCCCGATGCGAGTATCGCGCTTAACTGTGTGAGGTCGAGTAAACTCGGCGAAATACATGTGTGGTGCAACATGCATTGTGACATTTATGTGGTCCAAGTTGAATGTGGTGCAACCATTGCGGTGCAACACTTGTGGTGCAACCTGCTTGGTGAGTGATATCGTAGACTTATACTGGTGGCACATACAGAGGCCAATCGTACATTTCGTTTATGCACGGTTCCGCGGCGACTCTTGCAGTGCTAACCTTTCTCGGGTGCTCGTGTCCTTCCAGCTTCAGGTACAAGCCTCGCATCTCCTTTTTCATCCAACGGCCATTGCCTAGCGCTTGCCCCACCAGCTCCTGCGTTCGCTTCCCATCGCCTTCCTCCCTCCCGTTCGTGCCGTTGTTTCCGTAGCCGCGCATTGCGAGTTCCCCCCCAGCGTATTACTCTGGGAGGCCTGTTGGTTGCATTGGTTGCTGCTGCCGCGCCCCATTGCTGAGGATGAGTTTCTTGCGCAGTGCGTGCGCAAAGCACACGTGGCACTTTTTAAGCGTCTCCTTGCGCGGCTGCCATTATGTGACCAGTGCCTGTACATGAACCCTGGGTATCCAATCATATTTCACCCATTCGAGCTGTGTGTAACGACTGCTCATGGATACCGCATTATCTGTGTGTTGCACTGCTTGGAGCCGAACCTCGCTCCTCCCTCGCCCTCCTGCTCTTCTCATCGTCCTCGTCTTCCTCCTCCTCCTCCTCCTCCTCCTCCTCCTCCTCCTCCTCCTCCCCATTCCTGAGCGGCTTGCTCCAGTGAGGTGCTCGCTGCCTCGCCTACGCTGGCCTGTCATTTCGTATAGTTCCCATCGGTTCTTGCGCTCGCGGCGCCGATCTCGCGAGGGCTCTGGCCCCCTGGGTCACGAGGCCCTGCTGGAGATCGCCCGTGCTGCGCGCCCCGCCGCAAGACCTGCCGATGTGCGGGCGGCGGAGGCTCGCAGAAACCAGGCTTGAGCACGGTTGGCGAACTTGGGGATGACGCTCCGCCCTTGGAGAGGGCCCCATCCTCCTCCTCCTCCTCCTCCTCCTCCTCCTCCTCCCTCCTCCTCCTCCTCCTCCTCCTCCTCCTCCTCCTCCTCCTCCTCCTCCTCCTCCTCCCCCTCCCCCTCCCCCTCCCCCTCCCCTTCATCCTCTCCCCCTCCACCTCGTACTCCTGGTCCTCCTTTGGAGCTGGTGGGACGTCGATTGGACTCCCCACCTCCGCCACACACACACACACACACACACACACACACACACACACACACACACACACACACCGCCAGGCTCGTTCATGCGCCCCCTGGATAAAACTCGTGGGGGGCGCCTGTTGCGGTGGCGGCTGATAACGGTGATGACAACGCTGGCTGTGGAGGTGTTGCCGTTCACAAGTGCGACGATGATGGACATGATGATAAGGAAGAGGAGGAGGAAGCCGCGACGGAGGAGGAGCACACCCACTTTGCTTAAGTCGTTGTCTTGCTGTGTGCGGCACGCTTGGCCGACGCCTTTGCATCGTTAAGACGTGCGGCGTTCAACTTTTCATTTGCATGAACGTATTCGGCCAATCCCCCGCCACATTGCACCATGACAAGCATATTGTTTCGCTCAGCGGGGAGCGCGGACAATATGTGTGATCCACATTCAAAGCCACATGCAATATTGCCAACATCAAAAGTAATTTCCCATTGTAGCTTGGTGCGGCGCGTTCGGCAGCAAACCAGTATGTTGCAAAGCTATACTCGACCGTTCGAGGAGAGTGAGGAAGAGGAGGAGGAGGAGGAGGAGGAGGAAGAGGAGGAGGACGACGACGACGAGGAGAGTACGAGGAGGATAAAGAGGAGGAGGATGAGGAGGAGGAGGAGGAGGAGGAGGAGCGGGGCGCAGTATGGAGCTTCTGTCTGCGAGTACGAGCCCGTGCAGCCAAGGTCGCGATCACTCACACGGTGGGGGCGTCCGCCTGCAACGAGGATAGCACGACCCATTGGCCACTCGCATCGCGTGGGTTTGTCGGTCGATCGCAGAGGCGTGACGCGCGGAGGTGGCCCTATAGTTGGAGGAGAAGTGTCGCATCGGATTCGTAGTGCTCTGACGTCGGACAGCTGTCACAGCAACTGGTGCTGCAGAACTGCCTTGCCAGGCGCTTCACAAGCTCTCGTTCCTGGCAACGACGACTAACAGTAGCGGATGTTTATAATTAATTGACGTAGTATTCACGCGCAGGTTTGGTTATTGTGCATGCGTCCAAGAGTTGTCCTTGAGATTGAGATGTTGGCACAGTGGGCGTCGCATATCTTGCGCGGGGCTGCCATATGCGGCGATCTCTGAGTGGCGTAACTATTGGTGCTCGCCGTCGGAAGAACACGGGAGGGACGAGGACGAGCGTCGAAGGCGAGGACGAGGAGGAGGGGGGGTGGCAGCGGGGGAGGGGAAGGACGAGCAGTAGGAGGAGGAGGAGGAGGAGGAGGAGGAGGAGGAGGAGGAGGAGGAGGAGGAGGAGGAGGAGGAGGAGGAGGAGGAGGGAGGAGGAGGACGCCTTTCACGCCTTTCCGCCCCAGCCCAGACGCCTTTCGAGCGCCGCAGCTGTGGCTCGTGCTTCATTTTTTTTGTTCCCTGGACCGGGACCGCCGGGGGGGGTGGCATTGTGACCCAGGAGCTGCCCTGGGTCCCCCACGGGACCCCTTCTCAGGACCTCCCCCAAGGCCCCCCCTCCCCTGTGGGGAAGGAATCAAGGGAACGAGCTTCCCTTCGATTCAAGCATGATGTTGCTGTTTCATTCCGCTTTGGCTGGCGCTCTTGAGGGAACCCTGGGGCAAAGAAGGAAACGGCGACGGCGACGATGTCGAACGGAAGAGCGTCTTTCACAGGTCGACGAGGTCGGCGGATTTCATCATACGCGTTTGTCATCGGAACTTGTCGTTTCAAAATGGCACTCCCGCTGCGACAGGGGGCTCAGCTTCGGATTTCAAGAATGCCCGTTTTGCTCGAGACATCCTCAAAACATCGGCCCCGGAGGGGACTCCCAACGCGCGTGGCGGGGACTCTGTCCATGGGGCCCGAGAAGTAGCCGCTGAAGCACCAGCGCGGCGAATGCGCATCCTGGAACTCTGCTGCGCGCCAAGAAAGCCACTGCCCGCCCCTTGGAGATCGAGCGCCCTCGGCGCCCCGTGCGCATCGGCGAGGATGCGGCGAAGCTCCCAGAGCGGAAAGTCCGAGCCTATAACTGCTTGCAACAGATGGTGTGGTTGCACATGTTGAAGAGCTCCCTGAAGAACGAGAAGGACGGTTCCCGAGCAGCGCCCCAGGATGGTGCCATGCTCAGACCAGGCGCTAGAGATCCAGACGCACTTCTCCGCTGATCTGATTGTCGTGGACCGCCAGAGATGCCCGCAGTTGCGGCACTGCCAATCGCAGATCAGCCGACGCCGAAGGCGACGCTGCAGACGGCGGAGAATGTGCTGCAAGCCGAGAGGTCGAACGCCTTCGCGCAGCCCCATGGTGAGCACAATGGTGCTGCACATCTTGGGCCAGACCAGGTGCCGCTTGATGTGCGCGATAATCCCACGTGGCATTCCCAGAGCAGGGCCAGGAAGGAGTCGGGGATTTCCAGGGCTGGCCCGATCAAATCCAGAACCTGTTTTGACAGAGAAGGCGCGAATGGCGGCGTTGAGCTCAGAAGCAGTGGGGGGGGGTCGGGTTGGTCTCCCAGGAAAGCAGGCCAATCCAGGGGCTGTCTTTCAGTGCGCACCTTCCGCCACCCCTCCCATTCCTCCTGTAAGATGTCTACCTCCTCCTGCGAGCTGGCGGGCCCTTGCGCGCAGTGACCGATGCAGCTCGGCTGCCGGCCAATAGGGCGCGGGGGGCAGAGAAGAGCGCGTGCGCGTCATTGACGGAGTGGGTGTCTGTCCATTCGCGCCAGCGCTGCTCTTTGCGGCAAGCAGATTGCCGGCGCTGATTTAGAGCATTGGTCAGCCCGAGAACGTAAAACCCCAGTCAAATCGCTGGGCATTGGAGTAGCGTTGGCCAGGGCGTCGGTCCAGGAGACGTGGAGGCCATCTTGGGGCATCGCGTGGGGCCTGGAGAGATTGCGGGGCCCATTGATGCTGGGCGTCCAAGACTTTTGCTTCTCCGAGATTTTATCGCGAGCCCGGGCGAGGCCCCCGAGAGCGAGCGAGATTTTTCACCTGGCCGCGATGACCGAAAGCCTGGGACACTGAGCAGGACCAGGTCGCCGAGCGGATTGAAAACGAGGCTTGAGCGGCATGCGCCGCCCACCGTATGTGTAGGATTCAGTTGGTGGCGGCTGGAAACCCGAACCCATGTGAGCTCCGCGGTGTCGATGCAGGCATCCCGTTTGGCATCTATAGAATCGGCGTCGACAACAACTCTGGCAGCTTATTCCCGAAGCTGTGGCCGTGACTCTGAGACACATCCAATGGGGCGGGCGAGAGGAGAGGAGACTTGCGCGGAACCCGATCAGGCGAACCTTCGCGTCACTTGCGACACCGGCCATGCGAAGCAGAACTGGCGAGTGCGGGGAAGTGGGGATGTCGTCGGAAACCTCGCTGGAGTGCTTGCCCAGGATGTTAGAGGAGACGACGAAATTATTTGCGACGCGCCCAGCGGGCGCGCGCGCCCCCGCCACGGGCGCCGCAATCTCTGCATCTGAAGCCTGCGCCCAGCCCAACGCACGGCGCCCAGGGAACATCTCGCGAGAGTTACGACTGCTGTCGGCGGTGCGCTCGCCGCCCTCTGTGCTTCCTGCGCGTTCTCGACCTGCGCCCTGGCGGAGTTTAGCTGATTGAACTGCGTGGCCAGGCTGGGGTCGAGCTGTTGGAATCTCTGGAACATGGCCTTCTCGGGGGGCTCGGCGTCGAGCTGTGCGGCAGCACCTGCGATCCGCGCCGATGCTCGTTGCGATCGAGCCGCTGCCTGATTATTCTGCTTCCGGAGCGCCTTGTGCTCGAGGCGCAGCTCCGCGACGCGCTGCAACTGTTTCTGAAGGACGTCGGCGGTGCGCGATGGCTTGTTGTTGCCGGCGACGAGCTTGGCTTCGAGCTGTCCGCGTTGCAAATGGGCGGCCTCGGACACAGCATGTGGATAGCCGCTGCGCTGAGCACGCAGCGCCGCAATCTGATTACGCTGGGAGCGGGTGAGCAGCAGCGCCGGATTGCCGTAGTACTCCTTGGACATGGCCGCGAAGGCCTCGACCTGCTGCTCGTCGAGCAGTTCGGATGGACCAGCGGAGCCGTTCTTGCCAGTGCTCTTGCCCAAGTTGCGTCCACCACGAGGCCAGTCGCTAGCGGGAGGAGGATCACGAGCAGACGCCTTCGGAAGAGGCTTCCAGCAGTGCATGCACAAACGGTACTGATGCTTGTTCTTCTTGCGCTTGCAGGAGAGGCACACGAGCGGCATGGCTGCGTCGAGTGCGTCGTAGGAAACTAGTGCGCGCTGCCGCCGCAGCTACACGCGAGGAAGAAAGAGCGGTGACCGCTGGTGGGACCCCAAGCCGTCTGAGCCAGACAGGCCGTGAAAGGATCCAAAGCTAATCGCTGATTCTCGGGCGTCCGTAGCCCTTCACAACGCTTAGCCTTGAGCCAAATGGCTGCGGATCTCCCCCTCCTTCTCCTTCTCCACATCCTCCCTCTTATATTTTGACGCTGGCCAGACTCTGAGCATGATGCTCGCCGCGTTCGTCCTCCTCCCCCTCCTTCTCCTCCCCCCTCCCCTCCTCCTCCTCCTCCTCTCCTCCTCCTCCTCCTCCTCCTCCTCATGTTCCTCCTCCTCATGCCTCCTCCTCCTCCTCCTACTCCTCCTTCTCCTCCTCCTCCTCCTCCCGCTCCTCCTCCTCCTCCCCCTCCTCCTCCTCCTCCTCCTCCTCCTCCTCCTCCTCCTCCTCCTCCTCCTCCTCCTCCTCCTCGCTCCTCTCCTCCTCCTCCTCCTCCTCCTTCTTCTTCTCCCTCCTCCTCCTCTCTCCTCCTCCTCCTCCTCCTCCTCCTGCTCCTCCTCCTCCTCCCTCCCCTCCTCCTCCTCCTCCCTCCTCTCCTCCTCCTCCTCCTCCTCCTCCTCCTCCTCCCTCCTCGTCCTCGTCCTTCTCCTCCTCCTCCTCCTCCTCCTCCTCCACTTCCTCCTCCTCCTCCTTTTCCTCCTCCTCCTTCTCCCTTTCCTCCTCCCCCTCCTTCTTCTCCTCCTTCTTCTCCTCCTCCTCCTCCTCCTCCTCACCCTCTTTCCTCCTCCTCCTCCTCCTCCTCCTCCTCCTCCTCCTCTCCCCCCTCCTACTCCTCCTTCTCTTCTTCCTCCTCCTCATCCTGTTTCTCGTTTTCTTCCTCCTTCTCCTGCTCCTCCTCCTCCTCCTCATGTTCCTCCTCCTTCTCCTCCTCCTTCTCCTCTCTTCATGTCCCCTCCTTGTCCTCTCATCTTTCTTTCTGCCTCGATCGCGAGCGAGACACCGAGAATACGCGGGCCCAGTAAGACCAACCAGGCGGCGAACACGTGTGTCGCTTGATTATGGTGCCCCCTTTTCCACGCGAAGGCCGCAGGAATTGGACATGGCTGCGCCTCTGCTTACCCTCCATTCCACCCCCCTCTCGTTCCTGGGCCCCCTCGCGCCCACTTCGCCTTCTGGCGGCCATTGGGCCAGGGGGGTCCGCACAAAGAGCCGCCGCGCGGTTTATATTTAAACGGCCGTATGGGCAAGGGGGGCCCTACACAAAAGAGACCCGGGTGTAACATATGGGTCTCTTTTCTCCTTGTTGTCCGCGCCCCCCTGTCTGCTCTGCTTCTCCCTTCTGTCTCGCACGCAGCCTTGGCGGCACGCCTCGGGAGGCAACACCAGGATCATGAGGTTTTTGTGTTTTGCACCGTCGTTCCAGAACAAATCTCTGCGTGGCCTCCGCCAGCCAAAGAGGGCCTATTCTGCCGTACGGCCGGACCGATGCATACGATCGAGGTCGGTTCGGGGAGGATACCCTAGTGCTCTTCGTGTGTGTTGGATATTATTGTGCATTTTGGGGAGGGTACCTTTAGATGTTCTGTGTGTTTTGGCCGACTCACGGTCTCGTGTTCTTGAGGGATGTTCTTCTGGCTTAGGTCTGTTTGTCAATCAAGGCCAGCGTGGTGTAAACACCTCTTCTCTGGAGGCCGAGCGGCCCCTCCCTTTGATCAATCTGTCAGCTGACGCCGTCCTCGATGGATGCTCGTCAGGGGTTTGGGTTTCCAGCGTTGCCCGCAAGCTGCGACAATCCATCATGTCTGGCCCGAGCTTAGACGGTTCTATAGGCTTACGCCACATCCGCCGACCCCTATATAAACGATTGCGCCTCCAGGACTGCATTTCACGAGGCTTGTCCAAATCATGGCACGGCGCTCGACATCGTTCCTGTTGCTTCGTTGCTGTTATCGTACCTCTTGGTGCTCATTTGTGGCCTTTTGGTGGCATCTTGGCTTGTCTGCAGGCCATATCCGGCCGCCTCGAGGGGTCTTGGCAGCGTCGGAGGCCGTCTGGAGGCCATCGTGGGCGTCAAGGAGCGATATTTCGGCGACCCGTGGCCCTCTTGGGCCGTCTGGGAGGCGTCTTGGTGCCTTCCTGGCTTATTTTGGACCCCCCCCCGCCCCTGACGCGCATTGTCCGGGGTCGTGCCGGGCCCGGGGGGTGGGGGGGGTCGAATTGCCGGTTTGGAGCCCGGGGTGGGGGGGGGATGATGGGGGGAACTACCCCACACGCCTAGAGACCCGCAATGGGTCGGCGGATACAACGAGTGCATGGTTTTATACACTTTCTGTTGGCAGTGCTGCTCAGGATGACCAGTCGCACACTTTCGAGGTCGCCAGCAAGGTTCGCGTGCACTTCGACTTGAGCACGAACACCATGCACGAGATAACGCCCTACTCTGAGGTCCTCCGCTTCTGTGTGGCTTTCTCCATCAGGCCACATGCTAGGCACTCTGCAGTGTCTTCGGCTCTGCAGTGGCATGATGTCGACTCTGCACCCTGCTGCTCTCTCCTTCGTTTTTGCTCATGGTGTTTCTGTTTGTTCCCGAATTGATCTTCACCGTCCTGTTGTCGTTGCTCTCATAGTTCGGGCAGCCTCGATCATTAGTTTGACGAGCCATGTTGACAACATTACCAGACGCATTGCGAGTGCGATTATCATTGGTATACAGCTGCCGCCTGGATGAAGATCAGAATTTCCATGGCCGCACTTCGTCTCCCGTTGTTGCTCCCTCGTCGTAGTCATTCGCCGCCCGACTCACCATAGTCACCATCATCGTCTGCTGTCGACTCCCTGCTGGAGATGATGGCATCCAGGCAGGGAGGAAGCGACCTGCTGCGCTTCCCACGGCAGGGGTGTGCGAGCAGAGCCAGGCGGCATCTCTTGGTGCACCATGCGTCCAGCAGGCTTGGGGTGAGGATAGATCGTTCCAGAGCAAATTGGGTGTTCCGGGACGCATGCGGACGGTGGCATTGGGGGTTTGGGTGGAGCTCCCCATGGGGCCACGAAGCGCTATACTATTGGGTTAGCGAAAATGCCAAATTGGGTGTTCTGGGACGCATGTGGGCGGTCCCGCTGGAGGTTTCGGGTGGAACTCCCTATGGGGGGCTTCGGTGGAGCTCCCTACGGGGCCACGAAGCGCTGTACTAGATGGATGGAAATGCCAAATTGGGTTTTCCGTGACGCATGCGGACGGTGGGGTGGCACTGGGGGGTTCGGTGGAGCCCCCTATGAGGCCACGAAGTTCTGTACTGGGTGGGTAAATTATGCTAACGGAGTTCCCCACATAAAGAGATTAACGGTTTCGTGGGACCCATTTTCTTGATGCCCTCCTCGCTTTGGCGGGGCCCCGCTGGAATGGGGGAGGGCTACGAAACCTGGCGAAGAGTAATGCTCTCCGCGACCCTCCTCGCTCAGGCGGGGCCTCTCTGGAGGGGTGGGAGGGGCACGAAACCATGTAAATAGTATGGTTTTCCGATACCCTCCTCGCTCAGGCGGGGCCTCCCTGGAGGGGTGGGAGGGGCACGAAACCATGTAAATAGTATGGTATTCCGATACCCTCCTCGCTCAGGCGGGGCCTCCCTGGAGGGGTGGGAGGGGCACGAAACCATGTAAATAGTATGGTATTCCGATACCCTCCTCGCTCAGGCGGGGCCTCCCTGGAGGGGTGGGAGGGGCACGAAACCATGCAAATAGTATGGTATTCCGATACCCTCCTCGCTCAGGCGGGGCCTCCCTGGAGGGGTGGGAGGGGCACGAAACCATGTAAATAGTATGGTATTCCGATACCCTCCTCGCTCAGGCGGGGCCTCCCTGGAGGGGTGGGAGGGGCACGAAACCATGTAAATAGTATGGTATTCCGATACCCTCCTCGCTCAGGCGGGGCCTCCCTGGAGGGGTGGGAGGGGCACGAAACCATGTAAATAGTATGGTATTCCGATACCCTCCTCGCTCAGGCGGGGCCTCCCTGGAGGGGTGGGAGGGGCACGAAACCATGTAAATAGTATGGTATTCCGATACCCTCCTCGCTCAGGCGGGGCCTCCCTGGAGGGGTGGGAGGGGCACGAAACCATGTAAATAGTATGGTATTCCGATACCCTCCTCGCTCAGGCGGGGCCTCCCTGGAGGGGTGGGAGGGGCACGAAACCATGTAAATAGTATGGTATTCCGATACCCTCCTCGCTCAGGCGGGGCCTCCCTGGAGGGGTGGGAGGGGCACGAAACCATGTAAATAGTATGGTATTCCGATACCCTCCTCGCTCAGGCGGGGCCTCCCTGGAGGGTGGGAGGGGCACGAAACCATGTAAATAGTATGGTATTCCGATACCCTCCTCGCTCAGGCGGGGCCTCCCTGGAGGGGTGGGAGGGGCACGAAACCATGTAAATAGTATGGTATTCCGATACCCTCCTCGCTCAGGCGGGGCCTCCCTGGAGGGGTGGGAGGGGCACGAAACCATGTAAATAGTATGGTATTCCGATACCCTCCTCGCTCAGGCGGGGCCTCCCTGGAGGGGTGGGAGGGGCACGAAACCATGTAAATAGTATGGTATTCCGATACCCTCCTCGCTCAGGCGGGGCCTCCCTGGAGGGGTGGGAGGGGCACGAAACCATGTAAATAGTATGGTATTCCGATACCCTCCTCGCTCAGGCGGGGCCTCCCTGGAGGTGTGGGAGGGGCACGAAACCATGTAAATAGTATGGTATTCCGATACCCTCCTCGCTCAGGCGGGGCCTCCCTGGAGGGGTGGGAGGGGTGGTATGGTATGCTATGGTATGGTATGGTATGGTATGGTATGGTATGTGTGGTAGGAACTATGGTATGGTATGGTGTGTGTGGTAGGAATAATCTTGTGCTGTATGGAAGATGGAGCGGGAGGTGGGTGGGAAGGAGAGGGTGTTCTGGGAAAACAAGAACCCCACTCAGGATGTGGGGAAACAACCAAATTGGTTGTTCCAGGACGCCTGCGGACAGTGGCACTGGGGGGTTCGGTGGAGCTCCCTATGGAGCCACGAATCGTTGTACTGGGTGGGTGAAAATGACAAAGTGGGTGTTCCAGGACGCGCGCGGACAGAGGCCGCGAAACGTTGGGAGCTCCTATGGGGCCGCGAAACGTTGTATTGTGCGGGTGAAACGCAGGGAGGGAAGAGGAGGGGGGAGGGGAAGGAGAGAGGAAGGAGGGAACGCGGGGACCGTCTCTCAAAACGAGGACCCAAAACCACAGGATGGTTGGGAAACACCAAAAAGTCGGAAAATTAAACATCTACATTACCAGTGGCGGGCTGTTTTTCAATCCCAGGACGTTTTGAAGGTCGGGGACGACGCTGGGGTGGTGTGGTGTATACTTTTTTCCCCGATGTCCCCGGGAAACAACGAAAAATGTATACACCAGGGTCCCGTATACACCAGGATCCGCTCTCCAGTGCAAATTTCAATGCAGGGCCGGAAAAAGCGTCGGTGTATAGAGTTCGATTCCCTAAAAAGGTGTTTTAGGATTTCAAAATCGAACATCCCGAAACATGTTTTAATGTGTTTGCAACATCAGTTTTCAGAACCATGAACATGTGCTCGCTGCCTTGCGAATCCATACAGACACCATCGATGAATCAACATGTCCATTGAATTCTGCCAAACGGGCCTCTCGCGCCGCATGTCGAAGTCACTCGAATGCCCTTGCGCGCGTGCTGGGGGAAGGCGGGAGGCACGATCCGTTGCGCATAATACCATGCGGGCAATTCTCGCGCGTCGTCCGCGCGCGTATGTCGAATTCCTTCCGAAACTATCATCGCCGACGCGAAGGCGCCGTCATCGTCGTCGGCGTGATCAGCATCGGCGCCGTCACTGGCCCTGCCGTCGTCGTTGTCATCATCGCCACCAGCATCGCTAAGATTATCATCGCGTCTACTGTGGTCGGCGTTGTCACGATACCGCGCCCGCCGAAGTCGCCGACTCGCACTGCCGCAACCGCGTCGGTCGCGCCAAACTATCTGGCCGTTGCGCGCGTGAGCATGCGCCAACCAGCTCGGCCGCAGAGATGCACCAGCCATCTCCAACCGCAAATCGCAATCGCCGACGCATGGGTTTTGGAAACCAAGTTGCGGGTTTGTGGGTGGGTGGGACGATTGCGAACACAACTTAGTACTGCAACTCACTGCGAAGAGAAATTAATTGTGAGACATAGATTGCGCCGTGTAGATTGCACAACAAAGGATGCACAGCATATACTGCACAACGTCTGTTGAACCACATGTATTGCATTACACAGGGTGTCCCGCATACATTGCACAATGTGGATGTGGATTGGTCCTCGTCGGTTGGACCACATATATTGCAATTCGTAGATTGCACCACGCAGGTTGCACCCCACGGATGTCTAGAAACGCACAGTCTGGGGCCCACGCTGGCTAACACCCGATTGGAAGGGAAACTGTCGGCAAGCGTCGGCCCAAACATCGATATCTTGAAATATACCCTGTGCAACCCAGGTGGTGCAAACAACGTGGTGAACTCCCAGGTGATGGAACCCATGTGGTGCATTCGATGTGGCGCACAGCAGTTCAAAGCAAGCCATCGCAATGCAACGCAATGCAAAGTAAGCCACCGCAGAACTAAACGAAGCAAACCAAGACAGGGCAATACCACGCAGTGCAAAGCCTTGCTATGCCGTGCAAAGCAATGCAACACAATGCAAATCAATACAAAGCACCGCAAGACAAGGCAACCCAATACAAACCAAAGCAAAGCAATGCAACGACGTGCAAGGCAGCGGGAAGCAGTGCCACGAAATGCAGAGAAATGCCAAGCAGCGCAACGCAACACAATGCAAAGCAAGGCAACGCAACGCAACGCCAAGCACTGCAAGTTAACGTAAAGCTTCTCAAGATAATGCCAATCAAATCAAGCTGATGCAGAACCACCGATGGTAACGTTAAACAGTGCAAACCACGGCACGCAATCCAAAACAGTGCGATTGCAACGCGATGCGATTGTAGTGCAGTGCCCAGGCGGCGGGCGGCGACGAGGCGGCGGGCGGCTTCGAGGCGGCGACGGGGCGTCGACGGGACGGCGACTGTGGCCACAGAGCCGCCAAACCGCCGCGCCGGCTCACCTCCATAGAAAAGAATTAGGAACCCCACAAGTGCACTCACTGATTAGCTGAATATGCAAGCAGTAAAGGTAAAACAACACAAATCCATGTACAGCAGCGCGCAGCAACGCAAAACAGAGCAATGCCCGCCGATGTAGTGCAACGCGACGTAGCGCAAAACAATGCAAATGAGCGCAACACAATGCAAAGCGATGAACAGCAAAGCTAAGCCGTGCAAAGCAATGCAAATCAATGCCAAGCAACACAACGCAATTCAAATGATTGGAAAGCAGCGCAATGTAGTTCGAGTGCACCACCGTGCGACTGCAGCGTAATGGCGCAGCACAGTGCAACACACCGCAAAGACATGCACAGCAATGCACAGCAACGCAAAGCATTGCAACACAATGCAGCGCAATGTCAAGCCATGCGAAGCCATGCGACGCAAATGCATCGCGGGCGGCGACGAGGCGGCGGGCGACGGGCGGCGACGGCGGCTGCATGACGGCCAGGGCGGCCCGCAGGCCCGGGCGTCGGGCGGCGCGAAAAGGCGGTGACAGCGGCCACATGGTGGCCAGAGCTGCTCGCAGGCCCAGTTCTTCAGAAAAGAAGCAAGAACCCGTAGGTGCAAGCGCGGTGCAGGAGGAGGAGGAGCAGTTGCATAATTGATGTGCTTCCGCGCGGGTTTTTTGGATCGACAGTGGACCCCGCTTCCCTGGCGCGGGGAGCGCCCCAGGGCGGCGCCAGAGGCGCCGTCGGGGGGACCCAGCGCCTACCCAAGAACTCAGCGTGGCCTTTCTGCTTGCGTCGTGCTTCATATTTCCCTTTTCTCCGTATATCGTCATTTTGGCTCTAGCCGAAGGCTTCGCAGCGGGCGGTTTCTGCGGGCGCGCCCGCTCCCGCCCAGCCGCGGTCGCGCCCGCCTGGCAGATGCCGGCGGGGCTGCAGCCGCGCGCGGCGCCCCTCGGCGCGCGCGCCCACTGGCGGCCCAGGGAGGAGAACACCACCGCGCAGACGTCAAGCCCCGCGAGCGCCCTCGGCCGCCCGGACGCGGCGCCGCTCCGGGAGCCACCCGCGCGCTGCGCCGCCTTCTCGGACTTCCTGCTCCTGGGCGCGGGCGGCGCCGCCCCGCCGCGCGCCTGCGCGGCAGGAGCGCAGGCCGCCGCGTGCCGGACGAGGCCTCCGAGGCGGCGCTCCAGGGCTGCCGGGCCCGCGCTGCAGAGGCTCCCGGTGCCCTGCGCGCCGCTCAGGGAGTGCCCGCCGGCGCTGCCGCGGGCGCCGCGGCGGCCGCCGACCTGCTTCCTGCTGCTCCACGGCGCGGAGGCCCGCCGAGGCGCGCCCGCGGGCGCTGGGCCGCTCGCCACCGCGCTGGCGGAGGCCAAGGACGCCGACGAGGCGCCCTCGGCCCCGGCTGGCCGCGGCGGCGCCCTGCTCCTGGTGGGCGGCGCGCTCGTCGCCAGCGGCGTGCTCGCGCTCGCCGCGGGGCGCCCGCGCCCGGCCGCGGCCGCGGGCCCGCCGGCCGAAGGCGCCGCGGGTGGTCCTGCCGATGTCGCCGCGCTGCCGGCCGCGGCCGCGGGCCCCGCTGCCGCGGAGGTTCCAGCCGCTGCGGGCGGAGGCGCCGCCGCGGAGGCGCCGGCTGCCGCCGCCGAGGCGCTGGCGGCGGACGCGGGCGAGCCAACCGACGGGGAGTTGGCCGAGCATCGTGCGGTGGACGCGGCCCGGGCCGCGGATCTGCAGGCGCATGCGGGGCTGGCCCTGATCTACGAGAGGGTGATGCCCGCGGTCATCCAAGGCCAGCGGGTCCAGCAGAGCGTCGAGCAGCGCATGGAGTCCATCCGCACTCGGGTGCCGCAGGTGGTGCAGGAGGAGCTTAACATGGGCGTGCAGGACCTCACCTCGCTCGTGCAGGAGGCGCTGCCGCAGGCGAGCGCCCTGCGCTCCGAGGCGCTGCCGTCGGTGTCCCTGATCGTGGCGGGCCTCTTCGCGCCGCTGCAGCTCCAGGGCCTCTACGCGTCGCACGCGGGAAGGCTTGGCCTCTGCGGCGCTCTGCTCGGCGTCGACGTGATAGGGCTGCTGGTGGACAGCGGGAAGAAGTGCCTGACTCAGGAAGTGCTCGGCCCCATGAATATCCTGCACTACTGGATCGCCGGCGACGCCGCGCTGCTCACCGTCACGGTGGCGACGAGCCTGATGGCCATCTTGCGGTGCAACAAGACCTTCGCCGAAATGAAGGCCGCCACCGACGCACCGGTGAATTTGCCCGCTGACCCCGAGGCGGCCTTCCGCATGATGATGGAGGGCCACTTGCTCAACGGGGCAAGGGCGATGATGGAGTACGACAGGCTCGTGCAGTCCGTGCCGTTCCAGATGGTGTACGCCGTCAACGTGGTGGACTTCTTCTGGCAGGTGGCCGGCTGGTTCTTGTTCTTCGACACTCCCAACGCAGAGTGCGAGGCCAAGTTCTTGCTCTATTGGTCCCGTGGCCGTGGCATGATCTTCCTGATCGGGTTCGTTCCAGCCCTCGTCGGCCTTGTGATGACTCTGGCCAAGGCGGCCACAGAGACCCGCAGCTTCCGGGCGGCTGTCCTCCAGACCGCCGTCGACCTCGACAAGCAGTTGTTCCCTTCCGGCCCCTCCGTCTTCACCGTCCTGGTGCGCGCCTTCTTCCTGCGGGACAGCAGCGACATGCGGAGGATGGAGCTCCAGCTCATCCAGTCGGAGGAGGGGGCGCTGGCGCGGGAGGTGGCACGCATGAGGGCGGAGTGCGCGCGGGCGACCGCCGAGCTGGAGGCGGCGGAGGCCAAGCACCGGGGCCTCGCCGAGCAGGTCGAGGCGCGCACCCGGGACGCCCAGATGGACGCCAGGGAGCGTGAGTTCCTGGAGCAGTACCGCCAGGCGGTGGACGTCGTGCTCGACGCGCGCGAGGCCGCAGCCGCAGTCTCTGGGATCCAGCAGGCGGCGGCCAGCGGCGGAGCCGCCGTGGCGGCCTCCGCCGCGGCCGCCGCCCTCGGCGGCCAGGAGGCCCCCGGCGCGCCCGCCGCCGGGGCGGCCGCGGCGGGGGCGGCCTCCGCGGAGGCGGCGGCCGCCGTGGCCGCCGTGTCGGCGGAGGGCCTGGCCGCGCTGGGGCAGGCTGCCGCCGCCGCCCGCGGGGCGGCCGTGGAGGCTGCCGCCGCCGGTGCCCGCGGCGTGGCGCAGGCCTCCGACGCCGACGTGGCCGAGGGCACGGGCGGCACCGGCACCGTCTTCCTGGAGCAGGTCGTCGGCGCAGCCCAGGGAGCTGCAGATGCCGTCCTGCCATCGCAGCCAGGCGCCCCGGCGACCCCGCCGGAGCAGCCGCAGCCGCCGTAGGCCTGGGCGGGGGCGCCAGCTGGCCCCGGCCCTGCGCGGTACCCACGGCCCCGCGCGGCTGGCTCGGTTGCTGCGCCGAGCGCCCGCGGCGAGACGCGCGCGCAGAGGGAAACAAAACAGGAAAAACAATCACCTGGCGAAGGACCCAACCGTGTGCAGTTGTGAGTGCCGCAGTTGTGGGTCCCGTCTTCGGTGGAGCTCCCTATGGACCACGAAACGCTGTACTTGGCGGGGGAGGCGCATGCGAACTTTGCCACGGGGGCCGTCGGTGGAGCCCCCTATGGGGCCACGAAGCGCTGCATTGGTCGGGGAAGACGCATGTGAACGGTTCCGCTGGAGCCTTCTGTGGAGCTACCTATGTGCCACGAAACGCTGCACTGGGTGGGGGAAAGGCATGTGGATTTTGCTGCTGGGGCCTCCAGTGGAGCTCTCTATAGGGCCACGAAACGCTGTACGGTGCGGGGGAGACGCATGTGGACGCTGCCATTGAAGCCTCCAGTGGAGCTCCTTCTGGGGGCACGAAGCGCTGTACTGGGTGGGGGAAACGCATGTGAACGGATCCATGGGACCTTCGGTGGGGCTCCCTATCGGGCCACGAAGCGCTATACTGGGCGGGGGAACCGCATGCGGACACCGCCACTGGGGCCTTAGGTGGAGCTCCCTATGGGGCCACGAAGCGCTGCACTGGGTGGGGGAACCGCATGCGGACACCGCCACGGAGGCCTTCGGCGAAACTCCCCATGGGGCCACGAAACGATGCATTGGGTGGGGAACCACATGCGGACACCGCCACTGAGGCCTTCGGTGCAGCTCTTTCTGGGGCCACGAATCGCTGTACTGGGTGGGGCGTCTTCATGGTGACCGGCCTCATTTCGGACCCCCATGTGGAGCTCCACTGAAGGCCTCATTGGCTGCATTCGCATGGTGACCCGCCCCAGTTCGGCACACCACTCACGCGTTTCGTGGCACCAGTGGCAGCTCCGCCGAAGGCCCCAGTGGCTGCGTCCGCATGGTGGCCCGCTCCACTTCGGCACACCCCTCACGCGATTCGTGGCCCCATAGGAAGCTGCACCGAAGGCTCAGTGGCAGTGCCCGCATGGTGCCCCGCCCCACTTCGGCACACTCGTGGCCCCATAGGGCGCTCCAGCGAAGGCCCCAGTGGCTGCGTTCGCATGGCGACCTGCCCCGTCTCTGCACACCCTTTGTTTTGTGAAAGGATTGGTCTTTTCGCCAGGCTTAGTTTTTGTCCTCGGAATCCCTTCCGTCCTCTAGTTCTTCGGCGTCGGCACACGCCTCCTCGGAGCTGGTCGTGTCGTGCGGAACACCTGTGTGGACCCTGGAAGGGACCGGGCCTTTTTTCCATGTTTCCAAAAACCGTCGCCTGAACGTGAGGACGGCAAAAGAGAAAATTGTGCACCGAAACGGCAGAACAAGGACTCACCGAAGCGGCCTGGGCCGTCCAAGGATCCGGAGGAAGCTCGGAGCCCGCTCGAAAACGGCTCGGATCGGGTAAGGCAGCATGACGGGCCTGTTTTCCACCACCACCACCACCACCACCACCATAAGTTGGAGGGGGAGGGGGTCCTCCTCCTCCTCCTCCTCCTCCTCCTCCTCCTCCTCCTCCTCCTACTCCTCCTCCTCCCCCTCCAACTTATGGTGGTGGTGGTTGTGGAAAACAGGCCCATCACAGCAGTGATTTGGACCAGGTAGGCTCCCGTAACAAAGCGGGCGGCGACGGCGGCCACGTAGCCGCAGGCCAGAGGCGCAGACAGGGGGGCCCAGCGCCAATCCAAGAATTTTTCAGCGCGGACTTCCGAGAGGCCATGCTTGTATGGATGCCCCTTCCGCTCGTTGTGGTTGGGGGACTGTCCCGTCGTATGCTCGCTCGGAGCTGGTTTTGCGGAGCGCCCTCCCCTCTGCAGGACGCCGCTCCGCCTGCGCGGAGAACGGAGCGAAGGGACCGCCCGCGTGCTCTGGGCGCCCCCCTTGCACGGGCGCAGAGTCACGTTGCATCTCCGGGGTGGCCCTTGCAAGCGATTGCAAACGGACCTCTTGAGGCGAGAGTGCCCCCTGCCTGCAGGACGCTTTCTCCGCCCGGACATCAGCGGGCATACGTCGCCGCGCCGTCTGCTCCGAGGCGCGGCCTTACGTCCTGGGCAGAGGAGTGCCTCGGCCACGAGGGCAAGCTCCCCCTTGGACGCAGGGTCTGCAGCGGGTTTGCCGCGGTGCTGGCTTCGTCTACGTGGGCGCGCTCAGAGCAGACGGCGCGATACGGGCGCTTCCACATCTGACAGGCCACGGCCCACACTCGGCCACGCGCAGAGGGGGGGGGCAGGGGGAGGGGGAAGGCTTCTTTGAAGCACCCCTGCTTCTTAGAAGGCGCGGGCCTCCTCCATACATGTACGGCGGGCGCCTTCTAAGAAGCAGCCCCCTTCTAAGAAGCCTCCGCCCCTCCCCCTAACCCCCCTCTGCGTGCCGCCAACACACGCTGCGCTCTCAGCAAGGCCGCGCCCCGGCGCGCACAGCAGCGTTGCGTCTCGGTCAGTCCTCCTCGTCTTCGGAGGACCCTGCCTGTCCTCCAGCTCGCTGTTTCCAGCTGTCGTTCACGAGGGGCCCCGTGCGGATGCGGCGCGGATCCGGTGCGGGACCGACGCGGCGTCGGCGCGGAGGCGACGCGGACTCGGCGCGGAGAGCCGCCGCGACGTGACCGCCGAGGCCCCCCGAGGCTGCAGGCGGGAGCGGAGGCAGGCGCGCGGCGGCGCGGCGCGGAGCCTCCGCGCGGCGCGCACGCGCGGCCCCCCGGGAGGCGGCGGGGCGGTGCTGCGCTGCACCTCTGGGGGGCACCGCCTGTCCCCCAGAGCGGTGTCCTGTAGCTTGTGCCCCGACGCGAGATTGACGCGGGCTCGACGCGGACTTGGCGTGGGTTCGACGCGGCTTCGCCGTGGATCCGGCGGATTCGGCACGGATTTTCGACGCGGATGGGGCCGCGACGGGAAGGCAGATGCTTCCACTTGTTTGTTTTAGTTGTTTTACAGTGTCCGGCGCAGCTGTTGTTGACGTTCCGGCACCGCCGTTGTTTTACCGTCTTCGTTTCTCTTGGCGTGGGCCTGGTCCAGATCACAGTTTTGAAAGACGATGTGAATTCTTTGTCGAACTAGTTCCGAACGTCTTTCGGATCCCCGGATTGCCAAGGCCGTTTCGGTGAACAGGTCCCAACCATCTTGTGGTGTTGGGTCTTCTTTTTGAAAACACAGCACCCCGCGTCTCATTTCTTCCTATCTCCTCCTCCCCCTCCTTCCCTCCTCCCATCCCTGCCTCTGCCCGCCGCACACCCCTCACATCTTCCGTGGCCCCACAGGGAGCTCCACCGAAGGACCCACGGGCAGGGTCCGCATGCGGTTCCCCGCTCCATTTCGGCACACTCCTCATTCGTTTCGAGGCCCCATAAGGAGCTCCACCGAAGCCACCAGTGGCAGGGTGCACATGCAGTCCCCCGCCACATTTCGGCACACTCCTCATTCGTTTCGTGGCCCCATAGGGAGCTCCACCGAAGGCCCCAGTCGCAGGGTCCACTGCGATCCCCCGTCCATTTCGACACACCCCTCATACGTTTCGCGGCCCCATGAAGATTTCCACCGAAGGCCCCAATGGTAGGGTCCACATGCGGTTCGCCGCCCAGTTGGACGCACCCCTCACACGTTTCGCTGCCACATAAGGAGCTCCACCGAAAGCGGTACCCACAATGCGTTATTCACAATCGCATATGGTTGGGTCTTTCGCCAAGTCGTTACTTTTTTGTTCCGCGTTCATGGTCACGAGGCAGTTCGGTGAGCATCGTTTTGAACCTGCCCTACCGTTTCCAGGCCCCATTACAGCCGTTGTCATATTCCAAGTTTCAACTGCCAGGCCCAATTCGCCGCTGGCTTGTCATTCACCCAATGACCCTGGCGAAGCCATCGACAATGCTTGGTCCTGTTGAGGCCGCGTTGGAGCCTTCCGAATGCACGTCTAAACCCTCAAGCCAGGGGCTCAGCATGTTCCTTCCGTCGCCTTCGAAGGTTCCGTGCCCCTGTAGGGCCCATGGTGAATCTCTCAGGCCAGAGGCCCAGCATGCCTCCCACATATCATGCGCGAACTGCGTGTCCACTTTGAGAGCTTCTCGAGTCAGAGGCACAACATGGCTCCCGCAGAGTATGCGAGGACTGCATGCCCATGCTGAGCGCCATGTTGAGCCTCGAAAGTCAGACGCCCAACGTGATTCCCGCATCGTATGCGAGGATGGCGTGCCCATGTTGAGCCCACGTTGCCCCTCTCAGATCGGAGGCTCAACGTCGCCCAGGCGTAGTTCCTGCACTCTATGCGAGGGTTTAGGGACCACGCTGAGCCCCGTTCGATTTTGGACGTTATCATGTTACAAAGGGTATTGATGGTAGGCTCAACATGTTCCCTCCGCTGCAGCCAAGGCGCACGTGACACCCAGGCACAAACCCTGGCCCCGCACCCAAAATCGGCCCCATCTTGAGGCTGCGGGCAACTCAGTACCATGGCCTGGCCCCGCACCCCAAATCGGCCCCATCTTGAGGCTGCGGGCAACTCAGTACCATGGCCTGGCCCCGTGCCCCAAGTCGGCTCCCCCCTGAGGCGGCGGGCCAATGTCAGTTCTACTGTGGGTTCACTGCCATCAGTAGCGGATGCGGTCGACGACGACGTGAGATGGTGATGTCGGCGCGGGCAGGATGCCCGCGTTGAAAATTCTCCTGCCGAAGCTTCAACTCAAATCGGAAAACGGCTGTATGGGCGTGGTAGCTCGTCCTCTTCTGGCCATCCATTTTCCCTCCCTCCCCCTCTCCCCTTCCGAGGAGGAAGAGTTTGTCTCGATACCGCTGCCCGGCCCTCGTCCCCATGGCTGGCTTCTCGCCCCCAAGTCTCGGTCAGAACGCATCCTGGGAGAGGTCCAGGGGCTGCGATATCCGAGGCGAGAACTTATACAGGACCACCGCCTGGAGGGTCAGTTTTCGGAGCCTCGGCAGGCGGTGGATATGGACATATTCGGGCCTCCGGGGGCCGAAATATATCCATATCGACCGCCCGCTGGGGCACAAGGACGTCGATTCCCAGGCGATGGATATGAATAAATCCCCGCCTCGCACGATATCAGTACTTGTTTGGCATATTCTCGACACCATAGGGGGTGCGCAGGGGGTTGTCCCTCAGCGCGGCCGCTATCCATCGCAATCGCCCAGGGCGTGGCAGGCGCGGCATATTCTCGACACCATAGGGGGTGCGCAGGGGCTGGCCCCTCAGCGCGGCCGCTATCCGTCGCAATCGCCCAGGGCGTGGCAGGCGCGGCATATTCTCGACACCATAAGGGGTGCGCAGGGGGTGGCCCCTCAGCGCGGCCGCTATCCGTCGCGGTCGTCCAGGGCATAGCAGGCGTGGTATATTCTCGACGCCATAGGGGTGCTCCCGCCCCTCCGCCCTTCCTTCTCCGCCCCGCTCCCCTCCCCTCCCCTTCCCTGCCAGGACGAGGGGCATGCGCCCGTCGCGGCCGGCCACCCTTTATACAAAGTCGGTTCCTCCACGCCTTTTCGCAGCAGTATTGCAGCTGCGGACCTGAGCATTCGACAGGCAGACGCGGCATAACCCACTACACGTGAGAAAAACACTGGTTCTCAAAATGAACTGTCAAATCTCTCACGAAGGATTGCAACAAAAAACCGAAGGATTGCAAAAAACCCGAAGGATTGCAAAAGATTGCAAAACAAACCCTTTCTTCAACGAAGGATTGCAAAAGAAAACATGGTTTTCTTGCAATCCTTCGCAAAAGATTTTTTGCAATCCTTTCTTCAAAAAACCGACGCCAGGTTGTCACATCGTCGGGCAAGGGGCGGCCGCGCGCGTGGCCAGGGGTCTCTCCGGCGCCCGGCCCGACCCCCGTGCGCCCAGGGCGCAGCCCCCGCGCGCGCCCTCGCAGGCAGCCAGCCACGTGCTCAGGAGGGGAAAAAACACACACAGACACAAGTAATCCTCGACTCCCAGGAAAATATAGGAAAATATGGGGATTGGGCGGGAAGACAAAGGCCCAGAAAACATGGAAAAATATGTGGGGGATGCTTTTTCTATGTGTGTGCATGTATCTGTGTGTCCTGGGGCCCCTTCATGTGCGCCTGCAGCCTCCCGGCGATTTCCAAGTTTTCCCCTGGCTCCTGGTCCCTTGTGCATCTTTGGCAAGATTCAGTGCAGTCCATCGCAGCCTGGCACGCGACCGTCACGCGGTATTGCGATGCCCTCTGAGGCTGTTTTTCGTGCTCATGTGCGTTTTTGCACTCAGCTTCTCTCTCTCTCTCTTTCTCTTTCTCTCTCTCTCTCTCTCTCTCTTTCTCTCTCTCTCTCTCTCTCCTGGTCCCTTCCCTTCGGGCTCTGGTGACACGGTAGTGGTCGCGCTGCCTGGTGCCAGCCGCGACCGCTCCTATTACCACCGGGTTCTTCCCCCCAGGGTGCGGTTCGTGTTTCGGGCACGGCGCGTGCCTCTTGACCGCGCGAGTGGGACAGCCCTCCCGAGGGGCAGCGGATTCCCAGTTTAGGGGAAAGGCAGTCTTTCGCTCATAGCCGCGGTGGATCCTGCTACCTTTTAAGTCGGGCCTGTCCCTGTAGCGGGGAAATATCCCAAACTAGTCAAAACATAGTCTGGGGGCTATTTTCTAAGTGTGTGCTTGGGAATATTTGAAGCATTTTTGGGGGTATGTTTTATCTTTCGTCCAACATCCCCCCGTAGTTCGGGGGACAGGCCCGACCTCGTGCTACCTGCGATCCGCCTGCCCCGCTGCAGGTCTACGGCCTGCATCCGCGCGACTTCCACTTCGGCCGGGACGGCGAGCGGCTGCGCACGGAGAGGCGGTCCGCAGTGGACAGCGACGAGGCGCGACGTGCAGCATCCCCTCGTGCGAGCTCCTTCGCAGGCCTAGAGGTTGACACCAACACCAAGATCGGCGGTGTGCCTCCGCCGAAGGAAGAAGATCCCGATCTCGGCGATGGTGGTAATATTCTGGCTTCCAAGGTGGCCGAAATATTACCACCAACGCCGAACATCTAGGATCATCTTCCCCCTGTGGAGGCAAAGCCCTGTGTTGGTGTTGGTGCCCATTTCCAGGCCTCCAACTCCTCTCCTGTTCGCCGACCTGGTTCGCCGACCTTGTCGGAAACTGGAACGTATACATTACCAGCGGGTGGGCTGTTTATCAACCCCAGGACTTGTTGAGGGTCGGGGACGACGTCGGGGCGGTGTGGTGTATAGTTTTTGATCCGTTCCTTGGGAAAACAACGAAACATGTATACACCAGGGTCCCGTATACACCAGAATCCGCGCTCCTGTGCGAATTTCAGCGTAGGGTCGGGAAAATTGTCGGTGTATAGAATTCGTTTCCCTACCCTGGTCCTCCCAGGGATGAAACGGGTGCTACGGCTCCCGTCCGGTTCTGTGCCCCGTGCTCTGTTGCCCGTCCACGGCTTCAGGGACCAGATCCCCGCTGCCGCGTAACCGCCCCTGACATGCGATGTCTCCGTTTGTTCGATACGTGGCCCCTGGAAGTTCGTAACATTTTCCCAGGGCGGGCTTTCATTCTGAGTCGTTGGTTGACGGCCCAGGGGCCCAGCGAGGACCCCCGAAGGCCAGAAACAGCAAAGCAGTGCCCCTCGTTGTTTTGCACGGCGCGAGCATGTCAGGGCCTGCTGCCCAGCTCCAAGGCGTCCGGGCTTTTTGTTGCGAGGCAGACGTGGACCCTACGGGGCCGCAGCGGAAAGGCTCGGGGGCACCGCGGGGCGCGGCGCAAGACAGCCAAGGAGATGGAGGGTCCGCCCTCGACAGACAGACGCCAGACAGGCGCCAGACGCCAAGGAGATGGAGGGAGCCGCGGGGCGCGGCGCCAGACAGAGAGGAGATGGAGGAGCCGCCCTCGAGCCAAGGGGAGAGAGGCGCGGGTCCCGCGTGGAGCAGTCGGCCGCGCGCAGAGAGAGGGGGGCAGGGGGAGAGGGGGGGGAAGGCTTCTTAGAAGCACCCCTGCTTCTCAGGAGGCGCGGGCCTTGTCTATAGATGTGAGTCGCCTCCTCCTCCTCCTCCTCCTCCTCCTCCTCCTCCTCCTCCTCCTCCTCTCCTCCTCCCTCTCGGGCCGGACGAAAGGGGGGGATTGGGAAAGGGGGGGGTTACGAAATTTGCTGCATGCAGCTGGTTTCGGCCTCGCCGAGGGGCCCATTCCTCGATGCATGGCCGCCTCCGGCGCCGGGAGGCGCCGGGAAAATCAGCTACGTGAGCTGATTCTCACCCCCCCCTTTGCTATCCCCCCCTTTCGCCCGACCCGAGTGAGGCCCGCGACTTCTAAGAAGCAGCCTCCTTCTAAGAAGCCTTCCTCCCTCCCCCTGCCCCCTTGTGCACGCCACTAAAAAGGGGAGAGGCGACGGGCGGATGGATGATTGTCAGTCAGGTGGGGCTGCCTTTGGAGGATGGTCCGTGGTCTGAGCTGGTGGGCTTCCTATCTTCGAAACGAGAAGGAGTAGCTGCAAGCTTGCGGTGAGGTCCCGAACATCTGCTTCACGATGAATCTGCACCACTTCCCGAGTTCCAAGATCCGCCAAAATCCAAATGCGAATGGTTATATAAAAGCCTCCCCCTCCCCCGAATACGCCAGGCGTAATTCAGTGTTGCCATTCTTATATTCCTGAACTCAGAATTCCTGGGGTATCATCGGGGACCCTGGGAAAGCCCAAGGGGCTGTGGAGAATCCTCAGGAGCTCTCTGGGGAATCATCAGAACCTCAGGGCCTCAGGTCCTCTGAATCCTCTGAGGAGGGCATGGTGGCAGGTCATTGCCAGGACGGTTGCGAGCAGCTCGTCCATGACGGTGCGCGCGAGGTGACTGCCATTGGCGCCAACAGGTCGATGGCCAGCGTACACTGCCCGTGACGGGCAAACAGAGCGAGCAAGCGCGACGCGCTGCGAAGATTACAACGTTGTGCTGGTTGGCAGCGCCGCCGACTGCAAGAGGTGCATATGGCGCACGCCGCAAGTACCCACCATGTTCTAAGTTTGCTACGCTATACATGCAACATGCGCGAGGATACCGCAGGTTGAGCTGCCGATCCAGCCATCGTCCAGGCGGCGGCGAACGACGACTGCGCCTCTTTATTCCGCGCTGCGTCATGGCTTGATTGTGACCAGATTTGTCGTAGCTCTTCGGGTTTGGCGACCGGCCGTCCATATCTCGGCTGCGTTTTTCGGCGCCCCATCGGCTGGACCGCGGCGGACGCGCGCGTCCGCGCGCGCGCGCATCTGCGCTCTTCGCCCGCGCGTTGGGTTCTAGTGTCTAGTTGCTGGTTCCGTGTTGCTTGTTGCTGCAAATAGCCAACTTACTACCGAACACTGACTGGTGAACACCCATCGCTTCACTTGGGTTCTGGAGCTCAACATGGGATGCCACATTCTCAGTCACGATGTTCTTCGTGCACATTGCGCGCGCGCGCCCACGCCGCGCGCATCCGCGCGCTTGCGCGGAATGCTAGACAGCATAGCGTTCGATAACAGTAGATCTTTCCATAAGAAGATCCAGAATCCCAGCAAAACGCCCCTTACTTTCACCATCCAGAATGTAGGGACGTATCAGTGCATTTCAACAGACGCGCGAAGACGGGCGCGCGCTCGGACGCGCGAGAGCGGCTGTGCGCGAGGAGAGTGAGACAGAACATGTTGTTCGAGGGTATGCCATCCCATGCTGAGCATCCTGACCCAAGTTACACAGCAAGCATTCACCAGTCAGTGTTCGGCGTCGTGTTGGCCATGCAGACACGTAGTTCCAAGAGCGCGTGCGCGCGCGCGGCCGCGAGCGGCAACTGTGCGGCGACGGCCGCCGCGCCAATCGTCATCCGCCCGCAGCAGCAGCCGCGGACGCATGCGCGATGCCTGAGCGGGCCTCCAGGCGACCGCCCGCTGTCACGACCGCGACCGCGTCGATCACCCAGGGAACGGCGACATACAGTTCGACGACGGCGTCGCCCACCCCAGGGAACGGGGATTTGGGAGGTATGTGATTTCTGCGACAACGAAATCCACCTGGGGAACGCCGACGTAGAAGAGCATGTACTTCTCACACCCTCGGGCTAACCGAGGATGTACTTGTTAGTCCCTCGGACACAGACAGTATGTACTTCTTACACCTCATGGCCTAATTTTCACGACCACCACCCCACGCATGTCTTTGCAGCTCGATTATTCGGGCGCGCGCGAGTGGACGTAATTTGGCACTTGCGACCGCGCGATTGCCTGAGCGCGCGGCGCATTTTCGTGACCTGGGTCTCGATGCGGCGCTGACCGACCCGTTGGCCATTCTGGCGCCTGGGCTGGCGGGACCACGTGCCGCTTGCCGCTTGCGCATCTGCGCGCCTGCGATGGGGGAGCGCCGCGCGATGAGGGCGCGAGATGTGCGCGGGCGAGCCCAGGAGCTGAGACTCAGCGTTGACTCCTCTTTTCGTGCGGGCGATAGGGCGCTAGGCCGCTAGGCGCTGAGGAGGAGGAGGAGGAGGAGGAGGAGGAGGAGGAGGAGGAGGAGGAGGAGGAGGAGGAGAAGAAGGGGGGAGAGGGAGCGGAGGAGGAGGAGGGGGAGGAGGAGGAGGAGGAGAAGGAGGAGGCGGAGGAGGAGGAGGAGGGGAGGAGGAGGAGGAGGAGGAGGAGGAGGAGGAGGAGAGGAGGAGGAGGAGGAGGAGAGGAGGAGGAGGAGAGGAGGAGGAGGAGGAGGAGGAGGAGGAGGAGGAGGAGGAGGAGGAGGAGGAGGAGAGGAGGAGGAGGAGGAGGAGGAGGAGGAGGAGGAGGAGGAGGAGGAGGAGGAGGAGAGGAGGAGGGGAGGAGGAGGAGGAGGAGGAGGAGGAGGAGGAGGAGGAGGAGGAGGCGGAGGAGGAGGAGGAGGGAGGAGGAGGAGGAGGAGGAGGAGGAGGAGGAGGAGGAGGAGGAGGAGGAGGAGGAGGAGGAGGAGGAGGAGGAGGAGGAGGAGGAGGGAGGAGGAGGGGGAGGAGGAGGAGGAGGAGGAGGAGGAGCAGTGCCCAGGACCTCCGGCCCGAGGCCTAGGGCCCACTCGCTCGAAGGGCCGGGGGCGAGGACCCAGACCGGGCCCGGCCCATGGCTCTACCCTGACCTTCCAGAGAGCTACTCTTTAGCACGAGAGGCCTTACAACCTAAACATCGAAACGAAGCAGCCTAAAAGCAAGACGTAGACTAGCTCTGGGATGGGTTCTTCAGTCGCGTGCTATTTTTTAGCCCTCCTGGAAGGTCAGGGTAGGCACTTACCCTTGGACCCTTGGCCTGAGGCCACGGACCGTTGGTCACGGAGCTTCTTGCTGGTGCCCGAACGCGTGCCGTGCAAACGCGTGGAAGACAGCACACACACACACACTCACACACACACACGCCACGAAAAACGACAACATCGGGCATTTAGGAAAAACAAGTCCCTCCCCGCCGCCCTCTCCCCTCCTTCCCCTCAAAAATTCGATCGTCTCAAAAATTCGATTGGGAGACCGCTCGCCACGCGCAGATTGCAGCAAGGGGCCAGCGGCAATGTGCAATGCCCAACTCGTTTTTTCTCCATCTCGGCAGTCGTGTTGTATCGAAGTGTCTGCTCCCGTGGTTGGTTGTCAGCGCCGTTCACCTTCTGCGCCTGGTCGCGGGGAGATGCATGGGGGCGGCAATGGCGACCCGCGGCCGCCCCAGCTAGGTTCGCCGTCGTGCTATATGTGTGCGTGCTCCGCTATTCCGTGTACAGTCGGACCGAGGTATAAGGTCGAGGTGGGTTCGGGGACGGTATCTTGGCGCTCTTCGTCGTGTGTGTTGGATGTTCTTGTGCACCCTGCGGAGAGTAACCTTGGATGTGCTGTCTGCTTGGGCCGACAGAGGGTCCCATGTTCCCGAGGGATGTTCCGGCCTCGGTCCGACTGCGAGACGAGGAGGAGGACGCCCCGCGGAGGGAGGAGGCGTGGCAGGGAGGGGCGAGGGCGAGCCTCCTCTTCCTCCTCCTCCTCCTCCTGCTCCTCCTCCTCCTCCTCCTCCTCCTCCTCCTCCTCCCCCTCCTCCTCCTCCTCCGAGGGATGTCGAGACGAGGTCCTTGGAAGCCCCTCGCGCGCTCTCGAGGGCCGGCTCTCCCTCCCGAGCTGCCGGCCCGAAGCCGCAAGCGGCGGGCAGTGCTCGCCTCCACGCCTGCAGGACGCTGCTCGCCTGGGCTCGGAGGGGTCCGCGGGGGCAGAGAGTTTGTTCGATGCTCGTTTTGGTGACCTTCCTGGGGGCCACCTAATGGATCTGTTCGACTCAGGTTCGACTCAAGTTCGACTCAGGTTCGACTCAGGTTCGACTCAGATTCGACTCAGGTTCGACGCAGCTTCGACGCACGAGTGGAGCGAGTGGCTCCAGGAAGGTCCCCAGAACGAGCATCTAAAGTTTGGCCTCGGCCGGCCGGGGTCCGGCGTGGGGGTCCTTCCTGCCGCGCGCGGGCGCACACGGGGGTGAAAAAGAATAGAAAATACCCCAAAAATATTCCAAATAATAATCCAAAAATAGTCTGGGGACTATGTTTAGAATCTTTCTTGGCCATTTAGGAGCATTTTTTGCGTAGCTTTGATTTTTCGTCGAAAATCCCCTTGCATGGGGAAACGCCCGACTTAACACGGGGGGGGGCCCGGCCGAACCGCCGCCCGCGGCTGCCGCCCCGCCGCCCGTGCTCCCCGCCGCCCCCGCCGCGCTCCCGCCACCGCCGCCGCGCCGCCCTGCGGTGGGGCCGCGGCGTGCGGAGGCAGGGAGGAGGAGGGGGAGGAGGAGGAGGGGGGAGGGGGAGGAGGAGGAGGAGGAGGAGGAGGAGGAGGAGGAGGAGGAGGAGGAGGAGGAGGAGGAGGAGGAGGAGGAGGAGCAGGGCTGGGCCGGAACGTTATGATGCTCCAACCTACTTTAGCCTTGACCATCACGAGCGCCGAAAAAAACAGCACCGAAACTCAAGGGTTTTCACGTGTCGGGCCCTGGGAGGCACTCGCCGGCACTGTTTCGACACTCTTTCGACACTCTTTCGACACTTCTCCGGGTGCTCGAAATTATTGAATCGCTTCGCTCATTCCGCCGGCCCGTGATATGGCATCGCTGGTTTTTGTCTGTGTGTTCGTTGCCCATGTTGCGCTCTTGGGGGCGGGTGTCGTTCGGACGCGTTGCGTGGGGAGTTTTGATGATGAAGCAGTTCCCTGGGGGTCGTCTCTCGATGGGGCGAAATAGAGTCGTCGTCAAGATGCTTCTTTGGGGGGCCTCTAGGGTCTGTTGAGAGGCCGTTCGGGGGCGCCTGGGAGACATGTTTGAAGCCTTCTGGGGCTTCTTTTGGGCCTCCTGGGAGTCTCCTGGGGCCTCTTGGCGACATCTTGGGGCCTCTTGGAGGCCTCTTGGGGCCTCTTTGGGACCTCCTGGGCGCCTTCTGGGACGGAGGGCTCCATTTTAGAGTTCTCGGTATCCCTCCTGAGTCCCTCTTGGGCCCGTCTTGGGGCCTCTTGGTCCGTCTTGGGCGGCACTTGGGCCGTCTTGAAGGCTCTCTTGGGTCGTTTCGGCGCCGTCTTGGGAGCTTCGTGGGCCGTCTTGGAGCGGTCTTGGGGGCCTCTTGGGCCGTCTTGGAGCGTCCGGAAGCCGAAAAAGCCAGAACACAAAAAACATCGAAAAAAACCAATGGAAATCAACGATTTTGGCCTCTTGGGGCTCTCTTCGGAGGCCTCTTGGAAGGCTCTTGGGGCGTCTTGGAGGCCTCTTGGGCTGTCTTTGGGGCCTTTTGGGCCGTCTTGGGGTCATCTTCGGCGTCTTCGAGCGCTCTTTGGGCGTCTCGGGGGCCTCTTGGGCAGTCTTGGGGGCCTCTTGGGGCACTCTGAGCGCGCTCTGGGGAGCCTGAGTGGCCGCACCCAGAAGGAAAACCATCTCTGAGTAGACTTGGTCGGGCGGCGGTCGGGCGTTGGTCGGGGTACTTTTCGCCGGGGGACCCCCGGGCGTTGGTCGGGGTACTTTTCGCCGGGGGACCCCCAGGGGCCGCCCCGCGCGCGCGAACTAGAAATACTGTTAATACTGTTAACCAGTTACCGGGGATCTTAGCACGCCCTGGCCCGTTGGGCCGGCGAATTTTTGGGACGTGGTCCTTGAATAGGATGGGGACAACATAACCTGAACGGTGTCTTGGCGGTCTCGTGGGCCGTGTTCGTGTCGACTTCGTTTTGCGGTAGAAAGGCGGGTTCGAGACAGAGGCGAGGGAGAACGGAAACAGGACGAAAGCGAAAAGCACCGTTTAGGTCCAGCCCTGGTAAGAAGCAGCCTCCTCCTGAGAAGCAGTCTCGTTCCAAGAAGCCTTCCCCCCCTCCCCCATTACTCCCCTGTGCGCGCCGCCGAGCAAAGCATGCACGGCATCGGGGGTCCGAGGAGGAGGGTCCGAGTCGGGGCTTTACGCACACAGTGGGACCGAGGCATAGGATCGAGGTCGATTTGGGGAGGGTACCCTAATGTTCTTCGTGTTTGTTGAATGTTCATCTGCATCCTGGGGGAGGATCGCTTCGAATATTCTTCGGTTTGGCTGGCGAAGGGTCTCATGTTCTTGAGGGATGTCATTATGTTCTAGGCCCGGCCGTGCCTCTCCCCCCTCGCTCATGCGCCCCCCCCCCCGCCCCCTCCTGATCCGTCCTCGTCCTCCCGATCCTCTAACCCCTCATCCCGTATCCCCCGTTGTCATCGTCCTCCCCTTCCTCGTACAGTCGCTATCATGGGATTTCGCCAGCCGTGAGTGCGCTGATGTCTGTGTCAGCATGCAGGTTGCAGTTGGGCGCGCGTCCATGGGCTGTGCTTCTTGTCTTGCTTGACGCAACCTGGTGGTGTAGCATTGCATGTATGGCTGTAGCATGCAATGTTCGGCACACGCTTCTGACTGCTTGGGAGTGCGTGCTGCTATTCTTCAGGAGGAAAAACACACACAGACACGACGGAATCGCCGATTCCCAGGAACATATTGGGAAAATATGGGAAGGTGGGGGGGGGAAGACGGAGCCCCAGAAAGTATGGGCACATGTGGAAAATCCTGGGGTTTGTGTCTACTGTATTTCTTTGTGTGTCCCTGGGCCCCCTCAATTGTTCACAGAAAAATCCCCCCAACCAACCCCGGATGTATATGAAGATTACGACCGATTCGGCAGGCGCTGAACTTCCGATTTGGAGGTGCTCCTGGCGTAAAGCATGTTTTCCTGGCGCAGTCCTTTGAGAGGGCCACTCGTTGCCGCAATCCTCCTGGGTATTGAGAGCAAGCCCACCCAGACAAGTCGACCGAGGAAATGTGCACCGGTTCAGTCCACATCGGAATTCGAGTGTACGGGTGCAGTCTCCAGACGATGTCGATGGTCGGCGAGCGTGTTGCCCGCTTGCATGCAGTTGCTCGTGGGCGTCGGTTAGCGATTCCGCCCGCGTGCGCGCGGCATGCGATGCCGCGCGCCCGTGGAGTGTTCCTGGCAGCTTTCGCCAGAAGGCATCCTGCTGGAGGGGATCCCGCCAATCCTGGGCTGCTCCAGGGAGGCAGCTTGAAAAGTGCGAGGCGAGGGCGTGGCAGGGCGCGCCTCGCAGTGCGCGGCGAAGGAGAGCCGCGCCCTGCCAGCGGGCGCTCGGCGCTGCATCGTCCGCGGCGCGGGTGGCTGCGAGCTCGGCCTCCCGCCGGCGCCGGGCCTCCCGACGACGAGCGGCGGTTCGCTCCAGCTGCTCGGGGGGGATCGCCGATGTCCACCGCGTGGCGTGCGGCACGGGGCGCAGCTCCCGCCCAGGCGTGGGCCCTGCGGAGGCAGGCAGCGTCCCGCAGGATTCCATCACCCCCACGGGCAACTGCAGTTGCGAGGGGCCCATGCGG